ATCTCGCTGCCTTTTCTGTCCTATAGGGTGTCAAATGATACGACTAGGAATTGCAAGGAGGGACTAATTACACAATTTCATCACGTTTCCAAATCTCGTATTGTGCCTAGAAAGGTCACCTTGTGTACTTGTGTAGCATCCACCTGGTCATCCTCCTGCATTATATGCATCGTACTTCCAGTTGGGCGCTCATTGGCTGTTGACTGTCGCAGACACAAGAGCCCACTCCTACGACTTGCGACTCGCTACAATCAAACCAGTTTGATTTTATTGTAGCGAGTCGCAGAGAGTTGTAGGGGCTGTTAAGAGCGGTATGACTGAGTCGCTGGGGGTGTCACACTACACAAGTGATGGTAATGGGCACACGCTGTGACTCACTACAACTCCTACAATTATGTAAATGAAGGCTACGACTGAAAGTCCTAGGAAAAGTCGTGTAGTGTCACGCCGGCATTAACCGATAGACGCACTGGAAAAATCAATTTAATAGTGCAGTGATTTTTTTTTCAATTCAGATCAGCTAATTAAACAAGTCCACTTTTAATTATCCCATCATCCACCCAGATGCAACAAATCTAATGAATAAGGGCAGCAGGTCATTTATATCAACAGTATGTCTATGATGTTAATATGTGTTATTAGTAGTGTGAATTAATCAGCAGGGGCTAAATCAGAAGCATATTGTACTTTCAACAGAGGAAGACTGCAATAAGAAGACAATATATAAAGAGATCTCACCAGCTAGTTTACTGGTCAGCTTTTCTATCTCCTTTTAGAAGGACAGCTCTAGAGCCAGCAACTCCAAATCTGGCAACTCACGCACAAAGAAGGCTCCACGTGCCAAAATGTTTTGTTTCTTTTCTTCTCTTTTCAGCATGGAGTCAACCTTTACTTTACATGCCTACGCATGCTGCCACAGCTCCCTGCTTGAACTACTTTGACTCTAGAATTAGTCTGAAATTAATCTGAAAAATCATTGGTTTTCTGTTACAATTTCAGAAAACTGGTAATATGTGTTAAGGACTAAGCTATGTTGTTTTGTATTTGCCAACCCCCTAGTTTCAATTTAAAAGAGTGAGCAATCTTCAGATCCAGGGAGAAAAGTGATTCCCTTCCCTTGACTTAGGTTCTGTGTTGACTGATTTCTGTAAATGGATTCTTCAGACTCTACAGTGGTCCTCAGTTCCCTGTCACCATTGAGCTTATTTCCCTGTCCAAAAATGATATTGAGCTCATTTCCTTGGGACTGTTTCAAGTGAATAGACAAGGACTGCTGAAGACTGACTGAACTCATTACACACAGTAAACAACATCCATTCATTAGGCTATATGACAGCTGCAATAATTCTGGAGAAAAAGCGCAACCCCTTTTTTTTCACAGACTTACTAGACATTGCTGGTTTCACAAAACACCTGCCTCATATCCAATTAAAGGTCAATACCACATCACAGCACGACACAGATTTTTCCTTTTTGTTGATTTTAATTTTATTTTGTGATACTGATGTAAAATCCTTTAGCTAAAAAATGGTTCATTGTACAGTAATGTTAACATAAATATTTAGGGATTAATTAATGAATTTTTTCAAAGTAGATTTATTGGTACTTTGTGAATCTGGGTATTAAGTACAGTGGCATTACATTCATGGACACACTTTATTATTTTTGGGGGATGGAGTATGGTTATCTTAAATTCAACTACATTCTGTCTTTCTGACAGATCAGCTTATGAAATCAGGAAACAATGTTTTGACTATATTTTCAGCTACGAAACAATGGCGCCATATGGTCAGGGTCTAGAATTACATCCTGTTTTCAACCAAATATTTGTTTGAAAATATTTTTATATCTTTATCTACATTTCAATTTCTCTCAAATTATGTGAATTATGATATTAATCAGTAAGTGCCTGAGCCTGAATACAGCAGACACTCTATTTGATTATTTAATTAAGTATTAAAAAAAACGTTTTCCAATGCCTTGACAATTACAATGTGTAGTAAATACAAAATAAGTTAAATTGCTTATGAACACACTATTTCTAAAGCGCATGCATATACAGTACAGTATGTATTGTTCTTGAACTCTAGAAGAATATAGGCAAACATACAAGTTTTGTTTTTTAATCATCACAGCAATAGAGCATATATATTGAAAGACAAATAAGAATGAATAGAAAAGAAACACCAGGTGTAGTGAATTTTTTGTTAATACCAAGAAAAACGATATTTTTAACTTACCCCTATGTTTGAGTTTCATAACTGGAAGGATTTCTAGAATTCTAACAATACTGTTATGAAATAATAGTATATAAATATAGCTATTTTTTAATCTGATTAAACTAAATTGCACCCTGGCCTGTGTGCCAATCTCCCACAGAAAATAGATTTCAGTACCTGATGATTGCCATGCCTGCATACGAGGACACAAAGCAAAATGAAGACACGTGTAGTGTGATAGTTGGCTATCAGTAACGTTTATTCAATCTTATTTCTTTTTTTTGCTGCTGCTTCTGGGCTAGTAATGCATCAGATGTCAGGAGCTGCCAATTACCTTCATGCTCTCTAGAGTGGCCAAATGATAAGCTGATAAACACAATTTGCAGCCATACCTTAGAAACAACCTTAATAAATTCTTGCTACTATGTACGGTACAGTGTTTTCATATACAGTGCACTGAAAGCTATCAGATAGTTTTATAGTTGTTTCAGATATTATTTGCATTGTATGTCAGTATATTATAGGAGCCAATCAAAATCTGTTCCACATGCAGTGATACTGACTAGATACCTCCTTCAGTCTTACATCAAATTTGTTACTTAACTTAGCATCAGTTACTATCATATTGTCAATACGTTGGGCTGTGGAATGATTTAAAAACTATACATACCATATGTTTCAGCTCAAACATCTTGAAAACAAATTAGTGCATTTAATGATAAAATATTTTCTCCAGCATATTTATATGTACAGGCACTGTGCACATGAGTAGGGAAAAAGTATACAATTATTTTTTACTGTGAATATACAGTATGCTTCATTAAGATTTTACACTACAGAAGAAAATATCAGCTACTTTAAATTAACTGAACTCCTGCCTAAAATCCCATGATCATGATTATCCTATTTATCAATGACTATCAGATTATAAACCTTCATCCTGTGGCCTATAATCAAAATTGTGTTCAGGTCCCAGGTGCAATGTTAACATTTTGACAGAGGCACTAGACAAAGAGTATTGTTACAAGATTTGTCCTTGGGATTCACACTAAGGCTAAGGTTCTACAACAATATATTATCATAGTCATCTAATTCAGTCCATTTATTGTCTGGTGACACCTTTACATCATCAGCAGGTGCACAAGACCAAAACGGAATAATGTTTGTGTGCTTCTAACTTCAAATGTCTCATCATTTTGAAACTGTAAAAATAAAAAAAAACATTATTATTGACATTATTATTACAGCAATCCTTGATCAGGGACAAGCAATTAAATTAAACATTTACGTAATGTCAGTAGCAAAACATGTTCTGATTCTTTTGTGAATATTTCTCTCTGATTTTTTTTTACTTCGCAAAACAGTGTAACTCAATACCGCACTAATCTGTCAGTGACATTAAACTTTTTGATCCAGTGAGCTCCTCCCATTTCCTGTTATGGTACATTTATTTGTGTCAGGGTTTTGAAAGCAGTGTGTGACAACTGGATCGGAGTAAAACCCGTTTGGCTGTCATCAGGAAAATTAAAAAGAATTTAACATTAAACAAAATCAAGTGGACTGAGATGATCGAGCAATCACATTATAGAAATGCGACTTTGCAAATATTTGTGCTCAGGACTGGAACTTGGGAGACATTGTAAGAAAACCAGGTTGTTGCGGCTAGCGATGCTACTGGACGAGCTCTTCATTTCCGGTCCACAGGTCCTTAGCTAATGGCCAAATCCGCTGTGCTATAGGAGGTGATCCACTCTGGATGACATGTTAACCCGAGGTCCTGACTGCTTGGTCATTTCAGATTCCCATGGAACTGTTCATTAGAGCAGGAGGTGTGAACTCCAGTTAACTCCGCTCTGGCCTTCCGCCATCTGGCCTCCTGAAATTCTTCATTCAAATGGTGAAGCTCTTTCGCACTTCTCTGTCTGAACTGCTGTGTACTCAGCTGCCAGGCGTCACAGTGACGCATAAAATGGGTCACCTCCTATACGTTATCCACTGTGATGGAAAGCATTATGTAAATATAACTATTCATTTCTTCTTCTTCTTTCTTCTTTCTTCTTTCTTCTTTGTTCTTCTTCTTCTTCTTCTTCTTCTTCTTCTTCTTCTTCTTCTTCTTCTTCTTCTTTCTTCTTCTAGGTGTTACAGAAGGTTAGTTCATGAGAAAAAAAACATACAGGGTACCATAGTACTTATTACACACATACGTAACAGATATTGGCCAAAATTAAAGTTTTCAATAATAAACAGAAATATTGTTTCTTTTTGACCTATGACAAAAAAAAATCTAAAAAGTGGTAAGCATTGGTGCCTCGCAGAGCTGGAGCCCTGGGTTTGATTCCATGCCTGGGGTGCTATTTGCGTGGGTTTCTTCCAGGTACTCTGCTTTCCTTCCACAGTTCAAAGACACGCTGGTAAGTTAATCGGCTTCTGGAAAATTAGCCCCGGAGTAAGTACGTGCATGTTTGTGTCTGCGTGTGCCCAGCGATAGATTGGCATCTCATTCTGGTCACGTCCGGCCTTGTGCCTGTTGCATGCTGGAATAGACTCGGGCTCCCCCGCCGCCCTGTATTGGATCATGCAGTTAGTTAATGGATGGATGGGTATTTATTGATACCATTCTCTATGCGTAGGTAAGGAATAGTCTATACATTGTCTAAGAATAATTTTCTTTGCCATTAAGGAAAAAAAAAAACGTTTTCATCTGTTATCAATCTGATCAAACACACACATTTCTACATGAAAACAAAATACTTTCTTAAAGTATTTATGTTAATGTTTTGTTTGAATTTCATCCAAAATGTTGGTGTTATCAGACTATATGTCCATCTTTATACAGTATGTTGCCCCCCTTTACAGTTCTACCCCTGCTCATCGACTGTTTCTAGTCTGTTACAGGCTTGGTTTTCTCTAATCTAATCTGCAATCAAGCCTTGATAGCCGTCTGAAAACTTGATTTTGGAATTACCCTTGGGGACCCAGACCTTGGGACGATTAGATGAAACACAGCCCAGCTCTTCCGGTGACACTTTAAAGTAAGCAAATCAGAACTGGGCAGTCAGGCGGCATGCTTAAAAATGGGTTCAAAAAACATTCACTTGTTAGTAAGTTTGTGAAAACAGGATTCAATATACTGTACAGTACCTTGCATAATTTATAGGGGTACCTCATCTTTTTAACATTACACTGAAAGTCCTGAAATTAAAGGGCTGCACCGTAGCCAGGTTTCTACCGAAAGGAAAGAACTAAAAAATCTTCTTAATGAAAAGAAATGGGAGGTATGATAAATTATGTAATATGATAGTGCATTTGACAAAAAAAAATTAAAGTATGAAATTGACAATTAAAGGTACAGTTGTTCTTTAATATAAAAAACAAGGCAGTCACTGTCACTTAATAAAATATTGAGATCCTAAATTTAAGCTGTGAGCTGAAACTGAATTGGAAGCTTTTGATTAGCTGACTGAGATGAGAGGAGAGATCTTCCTTGTTCAAGCCAAAAAAGAAACTAATCCATATGCTAGGTTGAACTCTTCAGTCCTACTGGAGTGCATGTACTGATTACTAACCAGTAGCTTTTACCACAGTAAGACTAGAGGGTTATGAAGCCGATGGCAACATTGTGATCAGCAGGAATAGGGGAGCAGTGTAGTGGGAAAGCGACAAAGCAGAAGGTTTACTTGTACCTGTTATAATACAAGTCATACCCTTCGCTCTCCCTGGGGGATTGTTAAGTAACAGCTGGTCCGCCATCCCAAAAAAACAACTTTCACATGCACACAGGATGTACACAGTAACAATTGGAATCTGCGACCAATTTCCTAACGCACTCACCCAAGCCACAGAGAGGGAAGTGCCAGTGACAGTTCTATTAATAAAACTTCTCTAAGCCCCAATTATCAGGGTTCTATTAGATGGCTTGGGAAAATGTCGCTTGCAGGAAAGACGTAGAGCTATTAAAGAGCTGGTCGGTGAAGGACTCCCCAGATGGGAGTAGGGCAGTGCCTTGAGTACAGATTGTGGGGGCTGAGCTAAGAAACTGATGAAGAGATAAACCAGCTCTACAACCCACATGTGTGCAGAGTCAGCTTGCGATTTACTTGCCCAGCGAACTTACATAAGGTCCGTTCATCTCCAGAAAGCCAGAGAACTCTGACAGTGTCTGTTGCACCACCGGAGCACTTACCTTTCCTCACGATAAGGTAAAAGCATTTTTCTCAAGTGCAAGAGGTATTTCTGAAAGTGCTGTTTTGGGTTGATGTTTTTTTAATTTTGTTTCACTTCATTTGGAAAATAGTACTATACAAAAAATTACCAAAAACAAAAATTAGGAACTCTCAAGAAAGAAACAAGATTTTTGTTTAGTATGCAATTAACAATTATTTTTAAATGCAAGTAAAAGATGGAATATTCTTCATGAAGTAATGATTGCCTGTGTATTGTGAGATACTGGTGTTCTGACTGTCTCTTTTTATTCAACAGGACATACGTCTTAATATGTACTTGTCTTTCAATATTTGATGTGTTGTTGGGAGCAACATTTCTTCTGCATCAGGTAACAGAATGCCTAATTGCTTGTTTCTTTTTTCTAAACTTTATTTTCTTTACTCTATAAAGCACGCACTGTATGCAAGTACAATAAATTCATGCTTTTTGTACCCTGTCAATACACTTCTGATATGATTCAATAATAGAAAATATACGCCACTAATAAATCCCATACTGTATGTGCTTTAACATAAACATTTAAGGCGAGGTTAAATATGCTGCTCAAAGTTTATTAGATTACCGGATGGAATGCCTCACATTTGGGGCTCAATTAGGGATGGAAGTAAAATCTGTCAGGGGTGGCTCTCTGTCAGACAAAGTAGAAGGACACTGTAGCTCTACAGATGTACAGTATTTACTTGAGTTTGTACTACTGTTCTCCAAACACAGAGAACATGTTCATGGGAACTTTAAAGAGAAAAACATAGAAAATGTATCCATAATTTTAGTTATGAATTATTCATATGGGAGTTTTAAAAGTTCTATGCTCCAGAGCATTATATGTTCTTAATTTGCTGATTTGAGTTCGGAACGTGCCAATCTAGAATATATAGGTATGGAAAATGTATTTTTCTCAAATATAGTTTTGGAATTCCACACGGGCTTTATTTGGCAGAGGAATCTTGGAGCACCTTTGCATATTAAAATGCTTGCAAAATTACAGTATGTATGTCCTCCTCCGATATGAAAATAACAAGTGTCCATCTAAAATTGTTTCATTTTGTCTAAGTTATTTTCTGGATATCAATTACCTTGAGACACAAAGCATTGTGCAATTGTTTTATTATGTAATTTTAGGTAAAAGATAGAGTCTAATGCTTTTTAAATTATGTTTTCTTTACTTGATTCTGTCTTTTTTTGTCTCTCTGGGAACAGCAGTCTCATTTGTTTTGGTAAGAAATAGTTTTTTTTTAATTGTTTTACATCAGTGAGGGAACAAAACATACATAGCAGAGCTGAGAGATGCTAGATCCCCCCCAGTGAATAATGTCTTTTTTATGATCACTACAGTCTGGTGCACTTTAGGAACATAGTTAAATCCCACTGCGTCCTAGTAGAATCTGCTTTCTCTAACACAGAGGTTGCAGGCTTGCTCTTCTGAGCTATAATTTATTTAATAGTGTAAGTTCAATCTGTGGTTCTAATGTAGAAAAACTGGATCTTTTTCTTGTACACATTTCCCCATAATTTACACAACAAACATAAACCTATTATTAAATATTATGTCAAGGTTTCTTATACATAAGGATATAGTAATTTAGTTTTACTAGTGTATCTAACCATATTTTGTATATTGTGTTTCATTTTTGGATACTTGCATCTGCTGATGAAAGTTAATGTCTTCATATGTTTATGACTGAATTGTCTGGCTGCCATATGGTGCTTTCAATAACAACCGGCACTCTTGAACCTGGCCAAATTACTTTGTAAATAAAAAAATCTATATTCCGCTAGCTAGGATCCTCACATTCTTAGGTTTCATAGCAATTTCTGAACTAAAGGTGGAAAAAATGCCTGTGGAATTCATCAGTTCGGCTTTTTACAGCTAAATAATACTTTAATATAGGGTAAATGATACAACATATACAGTATTTCTAAACTGGCAATACTGTAAGTTAACTTCTCCTGTGCATGAGATTTAAAAATAAAGAGCAGTTATGTCTTGGTATCAATACTTTAGTGCATATTTTGGTTATTAAACTAGAGCTTTATGAGGATTAATCATTTTCATTATCCCAACAGATTTTAAGAAATTCATACTTCAGTAGATTTAAGGAATGTTGTCTTATATAGTCTAATATCAACAGAATAGTCCAACTTTTCCAGGTACTGATTTTGTTTTAACCTTGATAAATGCAGTACTACACATTTTCAGGATTACATTTAAAACGTTCAAGAAACCAAGAGACTTCTAAAAAGAGGAAAATGGAGTGATTATTTTATAAGAAAGTACTTTTTTAAAAATGCATTGTATTTGCCATTATAAAATGAGCATTTACTACATTTTATAATTGATATTTAGTATTCCTTTGTTACTTGATGTGATGAGATCTTGAAAAGAGACCTTTAATTCCTTTTTCACAAATTGAGTACCCTCTTAATGGTTTAAAACATTGGGCCACTCCATGCAGACATATGAAGTAATTGCAGCACTCATGATACTCCATAGACACTTTATGCAGCTACCGTACATTAATCACAACGTGAGAAATGTACTAGTCTAAATTAAAAGGGAACTGCAGTTCCAATTTCTCAGACCAATAATTCTCAGTAACAAAATAAATTCATTGTCTGTATCACATCATTTTACAAATTCCAAATTAAGCACAAAATCATGAACTTTTAAAAAAAATACTGTAAGTCGCCATGGTGTTGTAAACCGAGATGTGAAGCGGCCCTTCGTGCTCACTAGTCTCTGTAGTGACTAATGTAAATGTACTGTATGAGCAAATAACTACAGGTAGTTCAGCAGACATTTCACTGCAAAAATGTTCCAACGTGATCTGCATGCAGAGTATGGCACTGCGCATAGCTGGATATTTTGTCACTTTTATGATGTATTGGGGGGGTTTAGAAGTTACTGTGTGCATTTTACTGTATTGTGGTTTGAAATGCACTCATCAATGCCGACTCTTTCTAACCCCAAAATTTAAAAAAATAGCATTACAGTTTTCCTTTAAAACAGCTTGGGATGTTTTGGCAATCTAAAGTCAGCAGATCGGACCTTATCTACTAATAATTAGATCTGTAGATTTGGAGAGGTTAAAATTCATTATCACTTCTTTTTTTATTTAATTTTTCTTTCTTTGCTCTAACACCAACCATTCGATAATTTACATGATGCAGCCATTCAGTCATAGAAAAATTGGGGCTTTGTTGCTTTATCCCTGAACGGAGCATTAATCTCTAGAGGTTAAGTAGGGCCCTGTAGTAAAAGTAGTCATTTTCTGCTCGCTGTCAAGCGTCTGCCTGGCTTCCAGTATTCTGTCATTTTATGATTATGCAATGAAGTACATAAGTCTTAACCACAATTCTAACCTTGGCCTGAGTAACATAAAACATTTTTAATTGGAAAAAATGCATGCTCTGAATGTAACTTCCTGTGTTTTTATGTATTTGCAGCTTCTGGGTCTTATAACATTCATTTTGTATGTTGTTTTATGTTTATTTTTCATTTCTTTCATTAGAAACATCACGAGGAGAACGGGAATGCTACGTACTGCAAACTTTGTTCCAGAGAGTGCTATATCTAAATTTGTAGCACACCAAAGAAAATTATAGACCTGTTTTTTAAGCATTGCTGTTTGTTTTTCTTTGATTTTTAGGGCCTCAAACATAACAAGTATTTGTGTTGCACTATTTCCTCACCTAACAAAAGAAAACAGAATAAAGGTAAGTAGATTATATAATTCTTACATATACATTTGCAGTGCTCTATCTGTGTACCTTATACCTAATTACCCTTTGTTAAGAATATTGAATAGAGGAATATGTTGTTTTTTTCCAAAGCATTTTTCAAGCTGGAAATATAATATTACTGGTTTCTGGAAACACTATTAGGACATATAACACTGGAAAAAAAACATTAAAAATATTTTGCCTTACATTAAAACTGTATTGCATATTATTCCTTCTCTAGACTAATTCGCAGCTCAGGACTGCTATAATCGTTAACAAAACACTTTTACATCTGACTTGTGACATCTGTGTCATTCATTAATTGCAAAGTCTTGAGAGGAAACGATGTGATATTTCATGATTTTGTTGCCTTTGGCATATAACATCCTCTAGCTGCAATAATCCAGACATCTGCAACTAATATCTTTGTTAGTTTATGCAGGAAGTTATTTTGCAAAGAATCGATTTACCATGCAGACTAGCGCGCTTCTTCATACTAAGAGATAACAGAAGAACATGTGCAGTGGGGGTCAAGCTACCACACACTTACAGATGGCTATTGAATTTACAATATCAGACAACAATATAGCAGGACATTTTAAGGTGGTGTAAATAATAAGTGCAGCACCATGGCATGACAGTTAGTGCCTATGCCTGACTGTGCTCAGTTCCAGACTGTAGCACCTTCTGTGTGGAGACTGCTTGTTGTGTTGTGTCCATGTGCATTTCTGGTTTTCTCTCACATTACAATGACACGCTCCAGTAGCATTGCTAATTTGAGTTTCCAAATGTCTCCCTGTGTAATGAGTGCACATTCCCTGCAATAGACAAGCATCCTATCCCACATGTATTCTCCCCTAGCACCCCAGATTTCCAGGACAGCCTCTGGGTGGCTGCAACCCTTACCAGGAATAAGCCGCTTAATGAGAATAGATGTATATAATACTGAGGTTAATGTTTATATCAGACAGCCAATTTTGCAGGATTTGTGATTGCCAATATGACCCAGAGGTCTGAGGAATTTAGATCTTGATTCCTACACTGTGAGGTCCACAGGTATATCACAACTCTCCTATGGCCATATCACAACGGTTCTACTATTTTTACATGTATGACGTAACAAGACCATGCTCACAAGCCCTGTCACGAATGTGGGCCCAACTAATACTCAGCCATTTCTCAGTCCACAGTGATTATTTCTTCTTCTGTCTTGAATTAATGCTACTGGAACCCACAAGGACTTGAAAGGGCAAAAGATGTCTGGAACTGCTCAATGACAGGCCCAGCTGCTGGCTGACTGTAGGGAGCTCTGTTGCCAGATAGGACAGTGAAACATAAAAATAATGTGATTGTTTCCTTTCATCCTGCTGGTGTCCTTTGGCAAGCCATGTGGTCTAAACACGCACTATGCTTCTAAAACTGCATACCTCACCGCCCAAGGACATCACTGATTACAGTTGATGGGGCCTGTAGGAAACATCCCTGGGCTGGGTGCCACTTAATTGCCAGGAGTGTGTTCTTGGGCATGAACCCTGTTCATCTGTCCCTGCATCAGACTGGTCTGTGGTCCCACACTGTTGTATTGTGAAGCCAGGAACTGTGTCTCAGACTGGAGGCATGGCTCACATCATTTTGATGCTGCTATGGCCCAATTAAATTCTAGATCTACAGTAGATCTCCTGATTTTGTGTAGTTCGTCTAACAACAGACTGAGTTTTGCCTTTTTTTCTCATTCTGCTTCTTACAAAGTAATCAGAGACTATATTACACACATCTAAAGCCAATTAGAAAATGTCTAACTCACAAATCGGTGTGAACATCACAATACAAAATATCTAACAATTAATGTATTTTTTTAACTATACTACTTTATTTCAAACTAGTCATAGAACAAGACCATACTTAAATAATATTTTCTTACACCTGTACTTTAGCTAAAAATGCAACACCTTTTAAGTTTTAAATGGAAGTAGCTGCTGCAGACATTAAAATAGTTATCTCTTTTAAAATATTTTTAAATACTTTCTGCAACAATCGTTTTATCTCTGGGAGTTCAAGTAGTGACAAAGTGGATGAAAAAACGGACAAAACACCAGATATCTCACAGCTTTTAGTGAGTCATAGATAAGGGTGAAATAGAATCATATAACAGAATACTTCCTTCTGTCTTTTTTCTTTTTTTTGTTCTCTTGACATTTAATGCACACGTTACCATGAACACCATTTTTTTCTCTCTTGTAAAGGGTGCAGAGAAATGAATCAAAAAGCGAATGTCTTTTATTCTCCATGGCATCAAACATAACCTTTGATTACTAGGTACTGATGTGTGTGTCTGTTTAAAATGATTTATTCTGTGTTTTTCTGTTAATACTTACTACAAAGTATTGTTACAAATGGCTGGCATCAAGCTGCCAAATGGGGCTGACCTTAAAGATGTAACTCCTGTTGTTACTTATGAAAACTGTAAAGTAAAGCCCCAAGCTTTTTTTCCAATTTTTTTAAGGAACAACAATTAAATAACTCTGTAAACCTTGTTAGCGATAGATATTTACCCCAAAGGGGAAGTGTTTAATGGCATGTGTTTTTACAACAAAGGGGGTGTGTTTAATGGGAAGAGGTTGAGGTTTTGGATCTGGCATAAAGTAGTTGGCTGACACCTTGTGATCGAATGTTGCTACTGCAGCTAAATTGTTATGGAAGATTATGATGACCCACTTATCTGAGATAGTGTCAAATAACACATACTGTAATATACCAAAATTAAATTGTAATACGTTTTTTATACTTTATTTATCAAAGATACATGTAATAACATCATGAAAATAATAATGCATTTTAAATTTAATCTTACAGTTTTGCCTTTTAAATTAAAATAATCCACAGCTTTGTGTTCATTATTCCTATTATGAAAAATAAATCACTAAAGTGAAATCTAAACTCATCTGATGAAATTACAGTAGGCCAATATTGCCATATCTATAAGAGAATAAAATTCATATACAGGGAAGGAATAAAGCTGTAGTTGCATTGTAAGTTCATCCACTTTGTGTTGTGTGTCTAAAAGCCGTTCTAAAAATTATAGAACCAGAAAATCATTTTTTTGTACTCAGATATACATGAAGAACCATTACCTCGTGGAAGCTCCTACCTAAAGCTTGGGAGGAGTAATGACAACGAAGCATTTTTCACCCAGGTGTTATAAATCATATTCATTACCTTTTAATTGCTGTTTGCTATATTTACTGTATATCTTAAGCAAACACCTGTTTTTGCATTTTGGCTCACAAATCCCTCCTCCACGTGATCTTCACCTTTGCCTCTGCTCCTCACTCTGAATAGGGGCCCAAGTCTATGTTACAGTATATCCAGGAGCCTGCCCCTTAAACAAGCAAGTTGAGCCAAAACTTATTTAGACATACTGAATAAACATTCACTAAGCATCTAATACTTGGGTTTAACTATTCTTTGTGAAATACACTTTAATTGGTTCAATTAGTTCGATCAGTCTGAAGTAGTTCAAGGTCATAAGCAAAAGGATATCTTATTTAATTCCCAGAAACAGCTCCAAATAACAGGTTGAGGAAACACTTTAAAAAGAAGGAGTGGAGAAAAGGCATGTGTTGTAAAATTATACAACATCCAAGTTTTTCTCAGGAATTCCTACTGCCCTCAAGGACAATTGTATGTTATAGGGATTATTCCTGAACAGTTTTGCCTAGGTTTTTCTTCGCACATACTGTACACACACAAAAGTCCACAAAAAGTTTATTTCCAGGAGAAAGCTCTCAAGCAGATTGGATTTTCTCACATGTAAAAGGTAGCTGCTCCAAACCGCATGGCAATTCTGTTTATTTAGGTGTTTGATAATCAACTATTCTCAGGCAAGGAGATGGTGTGAACATGACATGGTTCTCCTACTGTGTCCTTTTACAGTACAGGAACCGCAATTTTCCTTGCTTTCCTAATACAAATATACAGTATGTACTGCATAATACAAATGCAGATACTCTTGGTATTATACATGTAGTAGTATAGTGTTTTGTTTCATATGTGTTAAAAATTACATTCAGAAACAGGATAGACCATAACATCAATTTACTAAAGTGTTACTTACATTTTACATGTTCTTATGACAGTATTATTTAATTTTTGTAAAATAACACCATGAGTGCATTACTCAAAAAAGAGAAAAAACAGACAAAGTTTCCTGCTTTGTGATGGTTCTCTGACGGTTTTATTCTATATCATACATATCTTTGTATAGTTTACCCACTATTCCAACAGTTTTGTAGTGCTTTAAACATTTCCGTATTTGTAACATGGTACCATAAACCATAGTGAGGATTAGAAGTGTAGGTACTATGAAGTGTTAGAGTGGAAGAAACCATACCTCTGACTAAAACACTAAGCTATTTCTTTTTTAAATCACTTTGAAACTCAGTGTGTAGATGAAATTAATTCCAGTGTTATACTTAAACTACTGAGATTTGGAACACTTCTTTCCTAGTCCTAATTTATTCTGTGGTATCGTCTCTTTTAAGACAAATTGAAGTTTTCTAATGATACCAATATTCTGAATAAGGAAATGAATAATTGTAAATCCTGTAATGCAACAATTTAGATCCACTGTTTTATTTCACATTCCAGCATTTTAAATGAATTAGTATATGAGGTTAATAAGATTTAAAGCCATTTCCAAAGGGGTTTTCAGCCTGTAAGTTTAAGCAGTGTATTTTAAAATATATACTTAAAAACATAAACAGCATTATTATGAGGCTCATGATCACACTGAAATTTGGTGTTACAGAAGAGAATTTCTTTGACATTTTTCTTGTGTTCTTTGTAGGAGTGCTTTACTGCAGACCTCATACCTGGAAGCAAAAGAGACGACATATCACTCATCTTTGAAGAACCTTTTTTTGCCTTAATTCTGTAACGAAATCCCTATCGGTTTAAAGGATAATGGAGAATACTACACAAGTACCAAACATCACAGTGAATTGCACATCATCCGGGAGGCATGCCTTTCTCTTTATTCTGATTCCTGTCATTTACAGTTGCAACTTTGTTATTGGCATAGTGGGGAATGGCTTGGTGGTCACTGTCATTTATTGTTACATTAAATTAGAAACAGTCGCCAGTATCTTCATACTGAATCTGGCTTTGTCCGATCTCACGTTCCTCATCACTTTACCTCTGTGGGCCACCTACACAGCCTTGGGTTATCACTGGCCTTTTGGCAGCTTCCTGTGCAAAGCAATCTCTGGTTTGGTGACGTTCAATCTGTACAGCAGCGTATTTTTCCTCACCTGCTTGAGTATTGACAGATACCTGGCCATCGTTCATCCCGTTAAATCTCGTCCAAAACGCACCATATTTTACGCCCGCGTAACCTGTACTCTAATCTGGATCCTTGCGTTCCTGATGAGTGTGCCAAATATGTGCTTCCGTGACGTTTTCTTTATGAAAGACCTCAATTTAACTGTGTGTGGCCTTTTGTATGAGCCTAATAATACTAATCGCATTTTGGTTGGAATGAGTTTGATGAAAAGCATCTTAGGCTTTTTGATTCCCTTTGCGACCATCATAACCTGCTACTGCCTCATTGGAAAAGCCATTCTTGATGCCTATCACGTCCAGAAAAACAAGTCCAGAAACGACGAGGTTTTGAAGATGCTTGCTGCTGTCGTAGCAGCTTTTTTTGTGTGTTGGTTCCCGCACCAAATATTTCACTTCATGGACATTCTTGTTAACTTAAATGTCATACAGAATTGCAAAATAGTGGATATTGTTGACACCGCCATGCCATTTACGATCTGCGTAGCTTACTTCAACAGCTGCCTGAACCCTATTCTCTACAGCTTCGTGGGGAATAATTTCCGAAAGAATTTACTCCGCCTGCTGAAATGCACACCTCCACTAGTTGTGTCTCATCCAAGCCTTTCTAGCAAAACAAGTTCAATTTCCTACCGGGGATCAGAAATATTGCATTTAACAACAAATAAGGTTGTTTTGTGAGATGTAAGGTAAGTGATGAACATCCATCCATTTTCTAACCGCTTTATTCAAAACAGGGTCGCAGGGGGAGCCTATCTCAGCAAGCCATGGGCACAAGGCAGGACACAACCTGAATGGAATGCCAGTCCATTGTAGGGCACACACAGACACAAACACACACATACTCAAGCCAAGACCCACTTTTCCCAGATGCCAGTTAACCTAATGGTATGTGTTTGGACTGTGGGAGGAAGCTGGAGCATCCAGAAGATCCCCACACAAACACAGGGAAACATACAAACTCCAGATAGCCCACCAAGTCTGGATTTGAGCCTCCAGTGCAGCACTGCACTGGCAGCACTGCTGACCACCGCGCCACCCAGGTGGTGAACAATATTGCCTCATTATCTCTTTAGGGAAATTTAAGAGGGGCTGAAGGATTCAGACAAGGTGCAACTCAAAATCTCACATGAACATCTGATGGTAAACTTATTCCAGAATAATTGCTCAAATCAGTGTCTTAAACAAGTGATTTTCCTGCTGAAGAATTAAGATGCAGAAACACTCATAATGGTTCCTTCTGCACCATTGCAAGTAAAATATTTTTAAAACACTAAATGGTCACATCAATGCGCAAAGAGTAGTATTAAGGCTCAGTAGCTAGGGGCCCCTTAATCTAGAAGAAAAGATTTGTCTTACAGCCTGTGTAGAGAAATCACAGTTCAGCAAAATATGCTGTAAAAATTCACATATTTCGCAATAGCCATGAATGAAATCTGTGCTGTTGCAAGTAGAGGAGAAAGTTAAATTTAAATAATATACTGAAACCATTGAATATATTTTTTAATGAAAATGAGAGCTATTTTGTTTTAGCACACTTTTTTTATTTTATATCCTAAAAACAGGAATGAGACTTTACCTGCAGAAAAAAAATATTAACAAATATTGCTTCTGTTAATACGCCTTGATATAGTTAATGAGTGGGAGTCACATAATTCACAATATCTACACCAGCCTCACCTCAGATGTTTGTTGCCCTGATGCAACTCAATGTTTTGAACTAGAAAATCTGGATAGTTTATTTCATGAGCAAATAGTCATTAACAAGCTCAAAAACAGCATGTCCAGAACCAGGAACACAGTAATGCTCAAAAAAACATTTTTCCCAATGTATCAATTATAATACTTACACAAAAGTTCTGAGCCTAACCTCAGATCTTTATTTAAATGTTCCATAGGAGTTCTGTAAGAGTGGTGCCCCATACAGGGAAGAACTTATTCTGGAAATAAATAATGGAAAGCAACCTGAGACACACAGACATTTATAACCTGAATGTTTTTAGGGTTTAAGGGGATGTTTCACACACTTTATTATGCTGAACAGTTTGCATTTTTACACTTTAGTATGAGTTAATTTTTTCCATCATACTATTAAGTACATTCTGAATCAAAATCTTGCAAAGTTAGAAGCTTGTCTTAAATTAATTTGTATTATGTGGTATCTACAGAAATGTGTTATATGTGCATATAATTGTGGATTCGTTATAATTTAAATGGACCTACTGTATGTATCAACTCCTGTATTCAGCTAACGATTTAGTGGAAACCTGAGCTTTGACACTTGTTTCTTGCTGCATGGACTCTCTACTTAAACAACCCCAGCACATGTCTCGCCAAATGCTACTGACTGTGGGACATACAGTACCTTTTCTTAATGATAAAAGCATTTTAGTATGGATTTGGGACGTATGTTAATTTTGATCTACTGTTTTTTTGCATGGTCATTGATGCCAGTATTGGTTTTCTGTAATTGCAGCTGTCTGTGTAGTCATTACACTGGAGTGTCAATGGCGGGTTGTGAGGAACCGAGTATTCATACAGCCCCTGCCACTTAGACAATCCCATTTATTCAAATATGCATGTTTCAGCAATGAAGCCACACACCTAGTTTATCCTCAAGCCCCAGGAAAGCCTGTAGATAAAGTAACCTGGAAAGGGAAAGCTCAGTGGGTTAAAAGCCTTTTAAAAAAGAAAGAAAATCAAAAAGACCTTTTAAAAGCAGTCTTTCTGATACAAGGTAGCTAGCTCATTTTGTAACATACTATGTAGAACCAGGGGAAATACAATGAAATGCCAAAAGGCCACATCATAATCATGTCATTTCTGTCTAGTTAGACTGGTTGTGTGGTCTTCCTTTTTGATACTCCGCAAGCTCATGTTCGTGGTGCTTATACAGCACTCCATTGAAAGTTAATTCCCCTCTGACCCCCCTCCTTTTGAAATGGTGATACTATCAAGAGTCTGCTCATAGGTCTTGGTGAAAATGTTCATAATGTTCATTAAAAACTGGGAGCTGGCAGACTCCCGGTCCAAATCCAGACAAAGTACTTAATTATTAGTCTGTTTGGTGTTTGGATGATTGAGGTGATTTCCTTAAAATGCTCAGTTTTAAAACTAGGGGTTATAATGTACAAACATGAGTTACTGTTGTAGGCATTTTTTACAGTCATAAACTGCTGTAGACACAATGATAAGATAGTTTAATAATTTCTTGATATTTATATTACTGCCCACATCAGATAAAAGCTCAAATTTGCCAATACTGTATGTCTTGACTAAATCTGATAGTGTCACACAAAAATACTACATAATTTCCAATTAATCTATCGGGTGTAAAGATAATTCCACATTATTTATTGTTCTTACTATAAATATTTTACTATCTTGTGTCATGTATCATAGTAAACACTTTAAATGAGTGGTATTGATACTTTTTCATGTGTTGTATTGTAAAAAGAGTTTGTACATGAACTGTTCAATAAAATATTTTTAAAAAATAAATAATAAAATTGCACATGTGAACTATGGCTTTTGGTCTATACAAGGGAAAGATGATGAAATAATGCTGAATGGGCAGTAATCCATCCATCCATCCATTTTCTGCCCACTTCTGGTTGCAGGAGAGTCAGAACCTATCCCTGTTTGTAATCCTTCTTATGTCCTTAAGGCATTTTCATCGTGGGTAAAGGGTTTTTTGCTACTTCCATTTTGATGTATTTAATGTTTCATATACAGTACTTTCATTTTTTACAGTTATTTTGTTTATTGCATGTTGCCTTTGTTTTCATTTTAATGTATGACAATGTTTCAGAAATGACAAATATTAGTTTGCAGTACTACTTGCAGTAGTTATTAATTGATCTATTAGAGATGTACAGTGCTATTTAACTAAAAAAATACATTTTTCAGTATTCAGTTCTGGGTGATTTGTGAGATAAGCAAAGGTCTGTTTTTGACTTTCTCAGGTAAAGATGACTGCATACACCCCTGTACACCCAGTGACTTTTGACCATGTCCACACGTTTCTTATTCAATTCCACCAAAAATATGTTTTCAACTTCAAAATGACCATGTACTCAACCCAGTTGAGTGATTAATTCTTCATGAAGTCACTCAACCAGTAAACATTGCAGCAAAGGAAAAGTGCATTAATAGAATAATCAATATTTATTCTAATGGTTACTTCAGTCTCCTTATGGAGTAAACTATATTATGGAAACAGAAGTTTTATTTTTTTATATAAGTAACAATCCTGTGGAAATCGTTTTTTACAGTACATTGTGTGGTATTATTTGTGTCATAAAATGGTAAGATGTGACTGCATGCAATTAAATAAGAAGAAATAATTACCAGCTTGGGTAAAATCATTCTCACTTTGAGCTGTGTAAGGGAAACTCACCTCACACAGTATCTCTGTCATCCCAAAGCCAGAGACTCTCAAGCTCAAATTCCTCTGTTTCCCAGCTCTAGATGCAATAGCGACTCTTGTGGTAGCCTATAGACTTCCACTGACAGTGATGATGAGACCACATTTCGGGCTGCCAGCTCTATGGAAAATGTTTTAATAATTAATGCCTCTTTCTTACTGAGTCCAGCTGGTCCACAAAGAGCTCTGTCCTGGGAAGAAGTAAACAATGGCACATTAAGCATCCTGAGAGATGAAAAGCTTGCACAACCATGGTCAGGAGAATTGCCATAAAACATGTTTATATGTAATAAACATAAAATTGCTCTTTACTATTTATGGGCACACTGCCAAAAAATAAATTTAATAACAAGGAATCAATTAGGCATTTGTTTTATTGTAAACTCCCATACTGAAGTGGGTTTACATCCTTAAAGATTGCACATGATACAATGGTTTATTTTTAAACTGAATACATGTTTATACAGCATATATTACTGTATATTTGAGATATACAGTACAAACAAATTACCAGGACAAGCAGTTCCCAAGATCAACCATGTGGGGAAAAGAATATTCCAAAAGATAAATAAAAATATCTTGAATAGAAATAATTGCTTTATTTGTCCCATAAAATATCAGTCTAACAATATCCCTAGAATGGCTCGCAGCAGTGAACTGTGTTTGTGGACAATAATAAATAATTCTTAATCGTAAAGTTTGATTCTCATAAAAAGGTTTGTGGTATTTCACATTGTAATATTTCTGGTGTGCTATTACAAGGAGCTAACTGTTAGCAACTCAGTTTTAACAGCTGATCCAAAGTAAAAACCGGTAAGAAAACTGTTATATTGCAACCAGAACAGATTTTAACCTTGGCTCTTGATTTCACTCAGAAACACTGTGGTTGAATTGTGTGTGTGTGTGTGTGTGTGTGTGTGAGGGGGGTTATTGGTCAATAATTACTCTTGATAAAAAGATAAAACAAAACACATTACTCCAATGGAAAATAACAGGTGTTGAAACTCATAGGTAGCTCTGAGGGCATCACACTACCGTGGGAGCTAATTGGTTGATTCCGGTAGAGGAATGTGGTATATAAGGTACTGTATAAGACATGTGAAGAGGTTCTGACAGAATGGGCAACATGAAGGCACTTCTGCTCCTCGGATTTGTTGCAGTCTCTCTAGCAGTACCTTCGTCAAGAAGATTCGATGGGTATAATCCTCTCTGTACATCTGTACATATACAGTAAATGCTGTAAACTATGCAGTACCTTTGCTTGACGTAAGGTGATATGAGTCCATTTTTTGGTTTTGCAGAGAAAAGCTTTACCGTCTGAAGCCAGAAAATGAGGTTCACGTTGGAATAATTAAAGATCTAGCCAATAGGATTGAGGTATGTTTTGTACTGTATATACTGTAAAAGCTATTGTAAAGGTATGAGGTTTGATCTCTGCTTGTCCCCAGTTTACCAGCCAGCCTGGCCAGCAATGGCTTGTCATAACTTCTTCTCTCACTGGGGAGTCTCACCAGCAGGGTTTGCTCGTGATTGCAGAGGCAGACCTCCAGATACGTACTGTATAGATGTGCAAAGTTTGATTCTAACTCTCATGCATATGACGAAATTTCCTTGCATAATTGTGTTCCTCTTTTTATGTATTGCATTCCTGTTCCAAAAATATAGTTATCATGAAAGTAACAACTCTCAGTATATTGCATATACTGTATGATACAATACCTGCTGTAACTAATTTGTCTTTATTGACCCCAAGATTATAACATGGTGAAAGCATGGTGATGCATGTATAGGGATTGCAGAGATTCAGAGTAGAAGAATGAATAGTAAGATGAACACAAGCAATTCCTAACAAAAGCATACAATAAGGAGGGTAAATACAAGACAGAAATCCTTGGATTAGCTTTTGAAATGTTTTTTTATTGTCAATCTGCATAATTCTCCTTTGATTTCATTATTCAGATTGATTTCTGGAAACCTGGCTCTGCAGAGTTAGTAACTCCCAAATCTGAAGTCGATATCCATGTCAGTGCTTCACACTCGTCTCTTGTGGCGACCCTTTTACAACAAAGTGGAATGGAGCATGAGTATGTCAGTCACCATTAGACACAGATGGTCTAGTTTTGTTCATGGTCAAGAAGCTTGCATGATACTAAACAATGTGTTTTTCTTTTCTGTGTACAGAGTGCTGATTGCTGACCTGCAGGCAGCTGTGGAGAAGCAGTTTGACAGTAAAGAGCGATCAACAATGACTTACAACTATGAAAAGTATAACACCTGGCAAAATGTATGAAAAGTCACATATTGTTAGGATGATTTCAATAAAGTCTCTTGTGGAGCCCCCAGTATAAAGTAACTGCTAACATTCTCTCCTGGTTTTCAGATTGAAGCATGGATGAGCAGCATCACAGCTGAAAACCCCACTTTGGTTTCAAGATCCGTGATTGGAACTACATATGAGGGACGTAAAATGCATCTTCTTAAGGTAGTTTATAAAAATCTTTTATTTGTTTCACACACCTGAAGAGTTCCTACACTGTATACGCCTTGTTCTCCAAAAGACAGAATTCCAGAATTTGCATGGTATTTTTTTAATTCAGGAAAATGTGTACTTGATTAAGACTGCAATAGTTATCAAAATTATAGCTCCTTTAAAAGTCTGCTTGTGAATAAAAAAGTGTTTGTCAATAAAAAAAAATACTTATCACAGATAATTAATTTTGATCAGCCTGTTGTGTAGGCATTTACCAACACCTTTGTAAGAAAGCTGCTCAAGGAGATTTATTATTTTTGTATTTTATACAAAGGGTTTCAAGATAGCTCACTTTCACTAAACTCCTGTAGGATAATGCTGTTATAGAAAACAACTGTGGATGGATGAATACTATACACTCTTAGGTTTGAATAAATATACTGTAGTAGTGTAACAGCACTGTCTACTTTCATCACAAGGCCACAAAACTACTCACTCTGTGTGTACCATTGCCAAGTATCAATTTAAAGATGCTTACCTTGTGCATCTTGTGCTTGTGCTACCTTGTGCAAAAGAGTTGAAACTGAACACTACAGAAACATGCTGGACGTGGTTTGTGATGAAATCCAGTAATAACTTCCTGAGTTGCAGCATCAAAGTGTTATTTTACTGTGCAATAATGCCAGGCTACAGACCATCGACACCCTGTGTGATTATTTTTCAGAGTTATGGCTAACACGTTCCACCTCACAGCCCTGAGATGGAACCTAGTGATTTTTGAGTCTTTGGTCCCTTCATTAAGACAGTTAGAAACTGTAATCAAAGTCCGTCAGGAAGTGAAGTCTTGTATGAAAAACAGTTGTGTACCATGCCCTTCTTATTGCTGTACCACAGTACCATAGTGTTTAGTACCACAGCTGCTCTTGATCCCTTATTTTGTAAACACCTTTGTTTATAGCCTATTGAAAAAAAAATGTTGTTGTTTTTTTGTTTTCTGAGAAGATTTGGAAAATAGTAGTTCACTCAGTCAGTTTTTGAACCTTTAGTAACTCAGATGGAAAATGTTTCCGAACTAAAAGAAAATCTTGAAAAGCACATTCAAATTGGCCAATCTTATCTCCACAGCTTGGCAGACGCAGCAGCTCCACCAAGCCTGCAATCTTCATGGACTGCGGAATTCACGCCAGAGAATGGATCTCTCCTGCTTTCTGCCAGTGGTTTGTAAAAGAGGTCTGCTACCGTAATAAACATGTCTGGCAAGCACCTTAGCGATATTATAAAACAAATATCTAATTTTGGTTGCAAAAGAAAAAAACTGTATGTTCTTCAGGACTAGTGTGAAATATTTTTTCGTTTCACCAGCTTGTGTTTCCTGTTTTCTTTTTCTGACTGGCTTTTCAACTTCTGAAAAACTGAGGGGTGAATAGTTTTATTCTGTACTGTATAAACTGTAGCAAACTGGTGATTAACCTGCAAGCAGACAACCAGCCAGACACAAATTGTTCTTAGTTATTAGCATCTTTCCAGTTTTCAGGTCTCAGATGTACTCAACTGAAATCCCTGTTCTGTTTGTTTAAAAAACACTTTCCTGGGCAAAAGTACAGTTTATACAGTGCTTGTGTCCCTGGATTAGAACACATACAATCTAAACATGTAAGAAAGCAAGAACTGTAAGGAGTGTTGAAAAGCCAAGCTGTCATTAATTCACTAATATAACTGCCATTTTTAATTTCTTTCTGGCAAGACATTTAATTCATTAGTAAGAGATAAACTACCAAATAGAAGTGTTGTCCAGCTTTGATAAGATATATTGCCATGAGTTTACAAGGTTTGGTTCTGAGGGATCAACAATCTGGCTCTGGGATGACAAACTGAACTGACTGAGACTCACACACACATTAATGCCTAGTATACAAAACATAAAGATTCAACAAATAACTAGTGTACAAATGCATACAACACAATTATCAAACTAGAAGAGATTAACAGTTAAATCAAGTGATGGAAACAGATATGTCAGATCTTTATCCACTTGGAATGTAGTTTGTTGCAGTGGTGCAGAAGTAGGTGGTGGCACAGTGGCTGCTGGGATTGAATGGCCAATCATTCTAGTGGCCAATGTTTATACTCTAGTAGGGAGCTGATGTTTTTTATACTCTAGTAGGGAGCTGACGTTCCTACCAAACTATTGTTATAAATAAACATTACATTGCTGCTTAAACATTTTGACTCACTGAACATTCCAAAACAAAGCCTCACAGCATTTGCTAGTTTAAAATCATTAGCTTTATTTAGATCTTTATTAGAAGTACAGTTCTTCTTTATACAATGTACTGTATCAACTAATCATTTTTCTAAATATAAATGAAATACATTTGTTTGCCTGCTTTTCCATTCCAGGCTGTATCAACTTACGGCAGTGATGCTACCATGACCAGTCTGCTGAATAACATGGATGTCTATGTCCTGCCTGTATTCAACATTGATGGCTATGATTACACATGGAAGAGGGTAAGTCAGCAAATCAGAAAAACTTAAAAATCTCTCTGCTTTTACAGTACATGTCCATCTTCACTGAATTACAAAGATTTCTTAAATGTCATTTCAATAATTTATCAAGAGAAGATTCAGGAAATAAGGTCAAGTTATAAATTAGAGGGGGCTATTCGGCTCATATGCCTCATTTAGTTGGTCGCAGCTACAGTATTTGATCCAGGGATCTAGTCTGAAAGAAGCCAGGATGTTAGCTTCAACAACATGGCTGGGTAGTTGATTCAATACTCTCCCTACCTTGGTGGGGTAAGGGGTTAAATTACTATTAATGTAGCATGACATCAATTATAAAATCAAGACAGAAAGTGATTATTATTAACAAATGTTAAAATGCTAATTGTATCTACGGATTTAAAAGAAAATGAAATTGAAAGAAGGGTTCGAAATTCTACAAAGCACCATTTTACTATATTCCTATAACCTATGTTCCTAACTACTGTATATTTGGTTGATATATGGAACCAAAACTGTTGTCTGTCACAGCTGGAGACAACATGGCTCGTATTTCCTAATTTATTCATTATTGATTAAAGTTTCTATCGGGAATCGGCAAGTATTGTAATTGCTGTCGCCTCGGTCCTGCAGAACAGAATGTGGAGGAAGACTCGTTCAAGGGCATCCAGCTCTTGTTATGGTACCGACCCCAACAGGAACTTTGACGCTGGCTGGTGCAGTGAGTTCCTTATGGCTACTTCTAAATGTGAAGAAGGTTACATTCTAGGAGGAAAACATGAATCCAAATTGTTCATCAGATTGTTATAAGAAGCACTCTTTTTTTTCTTTTTAAAAATATACAGTGGGCTCTGTTGTAAAGATGATTATACTGCTTTTCCCAAGGGTACACTAGTTTAATAAAGGACTGAATATTCGCATGCACTTTCTGGAGTCATGTGTGAAAGAGCAAACATTTTACCCTCAAAATAACACAGGTTTATATACAGTACTTTATAAACAGCAATGAAATAGCTAAGATTATGCCTGTCGTGTTCAGTCCTACTCAGTGGGGGTGAAATCTAGTCATCACTTATGTGTGAAATCATGGAGATAATTATAAAGGGCTTGTGTGGCAGGAAAAAACACATTCCAGTAACCTATTTTAAAAAAATTAAAACTGAGATACAAAACAAGCAGGTCACACGAAGCATGCTACCCAACAGAAAGTCAAAAAAAAAAATCTCCCCTTTCGAGGCAAATGGGAACTACAGCACAACACAATATACAATATATGTGTGCTGAGTGATAAATGGGACTCTTTATTATTTCAGCCACCGGAGCTTCAAGCAACCCGTGCAGTGACACCTACTGCGGCTCCAAACCAGAATCGGAAGTGGAGGTCAAGGCTGTCGCTGACTTCATTCGTCAAAACCGCTCCATCATCAAGGCTTATATAACCATCCATTCCTACTCCCAGCTGCTGCTCTTCCCATACTCGTACACTACTGCTCTGGTAGAAAACCACAGTGAACTGGTACGAGCCTACTGTACTACAGACGGCTTTCTATCATCTGTGACGGAAGGGCGGGCTAGGAAATGTAAACCAATACGTAAACGGGATCATTACAACTCATCGTTTTAACCTTTAAGCTTTGTCTAATAGTGTCAAAGCCTAAACAGGGTAACTGTGTAAAAAAAATGAATATCAAGACCCACTGTAGTTCTAGTGAGACAAAGGGAAATTGAAAATTCAGATGAAAACCTTTTTCGATTTCTGAGCTGTTGGCCTTCTGTTTCTTTTCAGCTTGAGGTTGCAAGACAAGCCGCTAAAGCTTTAACCAGCCTTTACGGAACTAAGTACACTAGCGGTCCAGGAGCCACAACCATCTGTAAGTTCAAAAATATTCTTTTGTTGTGTTGTTTAACAAAGCAGTGTGTTTGAACCACGCTAATCATGTTGCAAGAACTCAGATGTCAACTGCCAATTTCTCCATTTATTACATTTCATACTGGAGTCTTTAAACCCATTTTAAAAGAAGAGGGTACAATGAAGATGTAGTTCAGTCTGGTGACAAACCATATTGAAAATAAATACAAATCCTGTTTTAAAATAAAGGTTTGGAGGATCTTAGATAAGGGTTAGATTTTGTGCTCCTGTGAAAACAAAATACATTTTCATTCTCTCGCTGCATAAACATAGCCCACAAGCACCTCGTCGTCAAAATCTCCTTAACAAGACAAGTTTGATCAATGTTGGCCTTTCTTGTTGACTTCTGTTTTCCACAACAACCAACCAATCAATCTGATCTCTACTCTCAAATCAGGACCCTTTAAGTTTAATTCTCTCATTATGAAAGAAAACTTTAAAGCAGTCACAGAAGGAATTAACAATCTTTACTCAGGATTACCATTTAAGATATATTATACTGAGGACATCTGAAGCAACAAATCTGTCAGACCCTTTATATTAGCTTAAAATGTCAGATTTGAAAGATTATCACTGTTCCTCCAGACCCCCAAAGTAGCAGTGTGTGAGAGAGAAGTCTGCTTGGATTTACAGGAGATTTCCAGAAGACATGTTCACAAAGGATGACTTAAGTCTCCTGTATGTACTTGCCTGAACTTCAGTCATCATGTAGATTTGTTGCTTAGCTGTGTACAGTATCTTAAGTTGAAACAACACATTTGCCCTTGACAACACATTTGAACCATAAGACCATGATAATGGCTACAAATGAGAGAATACCATTCAGCCATTCTAGCCCCATTAGTGCTAATTTGACTAATGTAACTCCACATTAGTCTCCATGCACTGTTTTTAGCATAAACATAATAATCATTCCACTGGCTACTTACATCACTGTTTTACAAACAAAGCTCCAAGGCTATATTAGTATCCTGAGTGTACTGAACAACTCTCTGAATAGTCAATTAATCACTTCTCCTCCTGAACACTTGTGGTTTTCAGACCCAGCTGCTGGTGGATCCGATGACTGGGCATACGACCTGGGTGTCAAATACTCCTACACCTTTGAACTCCGTGACACAGGACGCTACGGGTTCCTTCTTCCAGAGTCCCAGATCAGGCCCACCTGTCAGGAAACGATGCTGGCTGTCAAATACATTGCCTCTTATGTTCAGAACAATCCTTATTGATCCTACTTGAATCAAATGCATTACAAATAAAGAAAAAGAGAATACCGCATCATTGTTTTAAAAAATCCCTGGACCCACAGATACAGGATCAATCACTTTAGTAGCAAAAAGGAAACTCAAACTAAATGTCAGTTGCTTTCAATATGTTTAAACAGGCTAGTTTTTATGTTGACACATCACTTGCATTGGACAATGTGGGGAAGCAATAAAAGGGAAAACAGATATTTAAGAAATAGTTAAAAGTGCAGAATTTAAGTAAAGATATTTAATTTTAAATTGTGTAATGTAGTGGTAACACCCTCTTTAGAAGGGTGTACAAATATTTAGACACTCATTTATACAATAATATTGCAACTCTGGATTCAACCCAGAGAATAAGTCTGACTGGTTAACAAAACTGAATCTTTGTGATCTTTGAATAGCTAAGAATATGAGGAAACCTGATAAAGGTATTCAAAATTCTCAAAAGCACAGACAAAGCCAACCTAATATTTTTTTTCAGAATCAACAATGTAAGCACTAACCAGAGCCCATGAGTGGGCACTTAAGCATTTAAAGCTAAGAAGAGCAGACAATCATGTATCCCCAGGGTTGTGGGAGTCTGGACAAAGCAGCAGAGCCATACTGTTGAATGTGGTACCCTGGCTCCTTGCAAGAAACATCTCATATAACTTTGTAGTTTGAAAATAAATTAAAAGCTTTCAACCACAAAAACAAACAATGTGTTGATCAAGTGAATATACCACATCACCACAAAGCAAGAACAATACTTGGAATACAGGAAATAATGGTAAGAAGCAGTAACATGAACCAAAACAATGTGAAATGAATCAAGTACGTTTTTGTCTCTGGATATTAAAATCTCAAACTAGACCCATAGTGAAGTCAATCTAATCTCAAAAAGGCATTTTAGCCTTTTCATTAAAAAAAGGAGAAAGAAAACTGCTTTGATGGTTTTCATTATTTGAAACATTTTCAATGTGAGAATGTGCCTAAGATCATTGCTGTATGTTCAGATGGCAATTATTCATATGAAAACAGTCAGGCACCACTGGACATATCTTCTTCAAGGTGAACAAGCTGAAGGACCCAGTTCACTTAGAGTAAAGGGAAGTTAATGTACTGTAGGTCCATTGAGAGTTTTAAGCCTAGACAAGCAGTCAGAGCAAAAAAACAATAACACTGTAAGTGCCTGTTTTTTTAAACACACGAGGCTTTGACTATTACTTATTCCTTCTATTCTTGCTGTATTTTCAAGTCAGAACAAAAATGTTTTAACTGTATTTTTGTACAGCAGGTAAAGGGTCAGTGAGCAGCTTTGTAAATTTACATTAATAAATAAAGAAAATATTGCAAATTATTTGTCTCCTTACTGTACTCAGCTACTGTTCAGAAAGTGATCGATGGCAGGTATATTTTCATATGCCATTGCCCAGAAGAGGACTGAGCACTTTCAGGCTCTTAATGCATATAGAAATGCACATGAAGCATGCCTGTGATATATGGATTGAGCTTTCGAGGGGCTGAGTGCCTCATAGTTACATTTATAATTTAAAATTTACATCCCCTATTAGAGTATGGGGTACAGTTGCATCATAACCAGGGTGTTAAACTACAATTGTTTTTATAATTCCTTGTAAATAGGAAATTAAGAAATTGTTCTCCTATTTGAAATACTGTACTGAGCATGCAATTAAAAATAAGAAAAACAAAGTTTTTTTTTGAATATTTAGTACTTGCAAGGTATGTTAACCCATACGAATATTCAAACTATACCATTATTCATGTCATAGCTTGAAAGTATTGAGGTAGTTGGCACTAATTTGGGTGTTGACTTGAGAACAAATGCGTTTCATCGCCTTTGTGTTCGTCGCCTTAAGTGTAGCAATAATGTTTTGGTACTATCAGGGACACTGTTAGGGACACTAGGTGGCGCCAGCAAAACAGCGAAGAACAATATCACGACGTATGGGCATTTTTTCAAACTTTGTTCTACGTTTTATTCATAAGTGCAGCTGAACAGTTTAATTGCGTCATTATAAAAATCGCATTATTTTAACTCCGCTACGATGCACCTGCTGAGGTTTCGGGTAAATGTATAAATGTGCAGAGAATTAACAGAGGTACATTATTAACGACAATCCTTCAAAACAATCCCTATTTCAGATTCTCTAAGAACAATGCTCGGGATCATTCCAGGAAAACTAAACTACTGTAAGAAAAATGAGGAACTAAGATTTTTTTTTTAAACAACAAAGGGGTAGACTCCTTAATTCATATAACAGATCTGATGCTGGGGGAAGCCGAATACATACTAAGTTCGTTTATCTAGATCCCACGAATAACGTATTCAAAGGAACAAGTAATAGGTTTATTCCATGCTGGAAAAAAGAAAAAAGAGAACACAACGTTTCGGCCGTGGAGCCTTCTTCAGGTGTCAACGTATTCAAAGCTTGCAACACACCCCGTGTTAACAACATTTAAAATGAATTCCGAAACAAGTATGGCTGCCATAGTTAGGTAAATTGACAACTGCTATACTTAAATTTCATTTATCTTTTGTAACTTTGAAGTGTCAGGATCTACAAATCATATTTAAACTGCCTGGTAGGTGAGTCGTCTTTCACAATCTGAAAGTGCTTCTGTTCCGCAGTTGAATGACGGGGATGTGTGTTGTCGGTGACCGCAGATCACATGACAAGGGAGTATATAAAATTGGTACTGCCTCTTCTCTACTATAAACTTACAGTTTCGTATCAGAGTGTGCTACTTAGGAATTAGTGGTTTCTCGTTTGGCTGCAAAAGAGCGTTGACACTTCGGGAATCATGACAGCAGGTAAGATGTGCTGTGGGAAACAAATGTTGCATTTGATTTCTGCCCGCTTCTTCCTTTTTTTTGGTCAGTGCGAAAAAGAAAACCTGCAGTGATGAAGTTACAGGTCCGGGCACTAGTAATTTGAATTCTGTTGAAGTTACAAAATACTTTAAAAAATTGAACTAAAGCAAAAAAATCAGAGTCTGCAAATTGGATCAAATGAAGCCTGTTATAGTCGATTTCTTCGTACAGTGTAATAGTAGTCTCGGGTTTGTAGTAGCAATATGGTGTCACGGTAAGGCAAAGGCCTGTTTGTGGGCTGCAATTGATGTCCGGGTGAGTTGTGAGGGGCTTTCTCTGTTTTCAGCTTTTCTACAGTCAAGGGTGACATGGTATTGCACTAAGAGGTGTGCCATTGTATCTCTTCGCGAAAGCACGCAGCACTGGCGTCATCTCTGATGTGTAACGAGGACGAAAAAACGGAAATGCTACTTTTATGTTCCAGTATCCTTTGATTCCACAGCACGTCCAGTACATTCACAGCAGGATCGTTTGTTTGGTACGGTTTCTGATAGCTAGATATTTATTGGAATTCTTTTTAACTGTAGCTGGTTTTTTTTTTTCGAACATGATTTCCTGATTTTACTAGGCTTCCGCGTAGCGGTTAGCTGAATCTCAATTCAAATGTCAGCTAGTTAATTTTGAAAATGCGGTTTAAGAAGGCTGGGTGACGTTTCCTTTACGTTCAAGTCAACTGGAGGTCACGCTGGTCAATGCATAGCAGTTTTCGGACGGCGGGATTAAACCTCTAATATCGTGGCTTGGCAGACGAAATGTACTGTATCTAAGACGTGCTCTCTAGACGAGACAAAATACAAGAAAGACGCAGGTGCTTCACTCATACAGACTTTGGTTGTTTTCTTTTTATTTTGTTTGTAGATTTAAAATGTCACTTTCATTACTGTGGAATGTCTTGCTTGCCATATTGTCTTGAATCTTTTAACATCGTAGAAGAGTGGTACCTCTCTTCACTGACTTCTCAAAATTGAAATTCTGACAGCCTCTTCTCATTAAACTATAATTGCAATGGGTTTACGCAGGAGAAATTTCCCTCTGGACAGTCCCGTTCTTGGTTCATATTAGGCAGCTGATGCATCCTGCCTTGTATTCGCGTGTTATGTTGGGGGTGTTAAAACGCCCAGCCCAAGTGATTCCAAATTTTTGTTTGTGCCTGGGGGACCAGCGATTACACAACCACCTGTTTCATTTGTCATCTTGTACTTGGGTGTTGTATCGCTGCCCACACTGAAAGAACAGCCGCGAGTGATGTCCCACATGGTGTGCGTGAAGCCTTTTAGTGCTGACATTGAACATCCACCCTAGTACTTAGTGTGGCTTCCACGTCACTCACTCGTAGCATTTCGCTGAATCTGATTTCTTTTTAAAAAAAATCTTGAGCTAAATCTTCTCCAATCTGCAAGACGTTAAATATATTGCTCTAAAAGCACAGCAACTTGTAAAATCTAACGTGAAGATTAGAATTCACTACGGGTTCTCCTTAAGTGGTTGGGGGAAACTCCTCTTTTCAAAAGGATTTTAAAAGATTTTGTCATTGTGGAGAGCTAAGTAAACCGTTGACAAATTTTAATTCTCCTCTCATATCTTGTAGCTTTTGATTTTTTTTTTTGTATCTGCAACGAGTCTACGTGTGTTTTCTACCTGCCTAAGGTTGTTGTTTGATAAAGAAACGGCAGTTTGTAAGGTTTTGGGAAAACGGACCTCTCACAGTGGAAATTCAATAACATGTTTTTAATGTGAGTTAGGGCATGCTTCTCTTCTGAAGGGGTGCATTTATTTGTAATTTTACTAAACGTATTTTACTAAATGTATTTTTCCCATTACATTAGTATTACAATACTTTTTAAAGTTGTCCCCACTTTCCGCTTTGTCAAATTTTCATGATTTCTACAGTATGCATACATTCAATATTTTCTTTTCTGTTCCCTTGATATATATTGTTTTCCATTATATCTGAAAATATTTCCAAAGAGGCCTAAATCACTCCCTTAGAAATGTTGCTGGAAATAAAAAGCTTATTCAAAATGTTTTTAATATTTCCATTTATCCACATTTCTTGGCTTATCATGGGAAGGCGAGGTTTCAAGTTAAATTTCTGCTTAAAACTGTTGAGATCTTATAAATATTCATAATATTACAGTTAAGCTTTTACATCAAAATCAGTTTTAGAAATATAGAATTTGGTAGGTTTCCAGTGTGATTGCTAAACTTTAATGAGGTTGAATCTATTGTTCTTCCATTTAATTTTGGCTACATGTATTCATGAGGCACCTACTTAATTTAATGAAGGAGTTCCATACAAAGACTGAAGGAAACTAAGCATAAAGACTTTTTCTAATAAAAGAAGAGGTATGTGTTCTGCTGTGCCCATAAGTATGATGGTTCAAATTCTAAATTGTTTCCGTTGACCCAGGCAGACATTTTTAGAATGGCAGCTGGAGGTGAGCTTTCAACATATACTGTATTTTAACCCCTTCGCTGTGGCTGTTACAACCTCTTTAGCAGAAATATTCTCATGTTTCTTGACTGTGGTTCCTTTATGTTTGTTAATGCAGGATAGCAAATGGACAGGAATTGAATCTCTTGCACACTTTGATCTCTTTTGTTTTAAATTTACATCTCTTTGGCGCAGGATATCCAGACGTGTTTCCCCATTACATTTCTAAGAGTATGGGTATGTACTGTAGGCTGGAAACATCTGGCCACAGTTGCTTGTAATTCAGGGATGTTAATTATCCTTTCAGGACTGTTTAGTGACTTAGTAGTACATGTAGTTCCTGATGAATTTATGCATTAAGATTACTAAATGGTATCTATTCTTATTACAGTGTATGGAAAGCAAGGTCTGTGTTCCAGTACAAATGCACAGACTACTGTGTGGAAGTGGAAGTGTGCAGGTTTTTGAAGGACAGTTTCTTGTCCTCTGTGTATAATCAATCCAGCAGTGCTGAAAATGCTTTGCTTAATGTGTCTCTCTGCTTGGCTCATGGCCAGAGCATTTGCAATCCAGGCAATTGCTGATGTCTCACTCTTGGGCCCACTGATTGATACTTTTTTTTTTCAATCATGAGTCAAACAACAACACATTCCAGACATTCATGTAATTCTTTACCACAAGTTTGTATTTCATTCTTGTTCTTGCCAGAGGCATCTGAAATTCGTGTAAAAGAGGAATCATAGTCTGTAAGTGTAATTTTGTAAAGAGTTGAACTCCATTTTAAATCCTAGCAAAAGAACATAGCGGCTGCAAAATTAAACTTAAGTAAAAGTAGACTTTTTTTTTTCTTTGGATACTGTAATGTTTATCTGAGTAATCAGAGAAATTGATTAATTCATCTCGGTCATGACGCTTCTTGTAATTTTTTGTTTGTGGGATTTGCATTGTGGTGTGAATAATTTTTTTCCACGTCTGTTCTATTATTGAATAGATCAAGCCTTCGTTACGTTAGTCACGAATGATGTCTATTGCAAAGGAGCCTTGGTTCTGGGGACAACACTGCGGAACCACAAAACGTCAAGAAAGCTGGTGGTGCTTGCGACTCCTCAGGTGTCTCAGTCCATGAGGTACTTCATTTTTCAGGGATCACTGGTGATGCTGCTGAATGTCTTATTTGAAAGTGAAATACTGTTAATTATGATGCACAAATCTACAAGAGCTCTTTGTCTGGTGTCGGCATTAGACTGCAATTTGAATAGCACTGAATACAATTGGGATGTTTGGTTAAGAAAAGTACTGCAATGTCTTTTCGAAGTTCCCAGTTACATTTGTGGTTCTTCTATGTCTTTGGGAGTAGAGTTCTGATTGGCTGGGGGTGATGATTTTGCTCTTTATCACCTAGTTGATAAGTAGAAATACAGTAAAATGGTCAGAAATAAAGATGCTTTGGTAATTGTCCTTCTTTTTTTTTTTCCTTCCTGCACTAGGGCAGTGCTTCAGAAGATCTATGATGAGGTTAGGTTAGTGGACGTGTTAGACAGTGGAGATTCTGCGCATTTGACCCTCATGAAGAGACCTGAACTGGGCGTTACTTTGACTAAACTCCACTGCTGGACATTGACGCACTACTCTAAATGTGTTTTTATGGATGCAGACACAATGGTTAGTAGTCCACTATTTCTAAATAATATATGTGCAAACTAATGCATGTTATTAGAAATGGGCATGATCAGTGTATTTGTTAATGTACAAGTCAGGGGGTGCACTATTTAGATAATTCTGAACAGTTTTAATTTATTTGTTGTCTAGAGATGTTAGGGTAAGTTTATGATTGGTCCTGATGAATATTTAATGACCATTTAAAGAAGCCAAAGACTGAATAAATTATCTCCTGTCCAGCTTTCATGTCAAGCCTAAGCTGAAGCATGCACGCAAGCTCCTATAAAGCTGTGGAAAGAGAAGAAGCTTCTGATTTATTTAAAATACTTTCTAATCAAATGGAGAATAGCTGAAGTACAGTGCATCCAGTATATCAATAATGCAAGTTTTCCTTCCTTTTTGTAGGTTGTATCAAATATCGATGAGCTCTTTGAGCGGGAAGAGTTGTCTGCTGCACCAGATCCTGGCTGGCCAGACTGTTTCAATTCTGGTGTGTTTGTGTTTCGGCCCTCTAAGGAAACTTATGATCAACTCTTAACATTCTGTTCAGAGAAGGGGAGTTTTGATGGTAAGCATAATCTATCTCTCTGCTGTTCCTTACTAAGGGGACTAAACTTACATCCCTGTATAGTGGTCTGCATTGAAGCTTCTTTATTATGTTTAAATAGCTACATTATGTCCTGTGCTTTGTTACAGCCATTAAGCCATTTACAGAACATTCAATAAACTGCATTAACCAGCATCATGAGTGAGTGGATTTGCTTGTCTTGTTTTAACCCCTCTGAAAGTGAATTGGCAAATTCAGTTCCCAGTGAGAAATGGACAGCTAGCAAAAGCATAACTAGTTTAGTAATAATCTGGAGGTTTTGTGTTTTTATACACCGTTGTATAAAAATGCAAAGAAACAAACATTTCCATGTTTCGGGAATAGGTTGGCGGTATGGCTTTTGTAGGCTTTTGAGCTTTAGTTAAGAGGCTTGTACTGTATGTTGACTGAATATCCCCAGCTCCTGAATATAATGGCAACTCCATCCTTATATTTACTCCTAATCTTGCTTGGTGCTTAATTTGAAGAGGCCTTTCCAAAGGATGTCATTTACCACGGATTTCCATTTTCAAAAACGGCACCTTTACAGACATTTCCCTTGTGCTCAGAAAGAACTGAGCTTTGCATTTCAATTACCGTCAAAAAGCTTTTCAAAATTGTCTTCAGATGTAAACATAATGCATGATGCTAAATCCCCAGTGTTTCTGTGATTTCATTCTTCATGTAAAGTCTGTGATATTTTATTATTTTGTTTAATAAATATGAGGATTTATTAGTGGTCAGATTTTGAAACAAAGGCCCCTTTTACTGCATATCTGTTCAGTAATAGTGTTTTTATTGTAGACATGGTAACCTTTTTACGAAGTTGCCTTTTTTATTAAACAGATCCCTGACGTGACATTTTACAAGAGCACACGGTTCTAAGAATAAATCTCCTACTGGTCAGAATTGTACATTTACAAAAGCTGTTAGGCCATGTCTGGGTCTTTTAGGAACTGTGGTAATCCAGCAAACTACATTCATCGAATGCTGTCCTCAGCGACATACTGGCAGAAAACATAAGGCCATCTGAGTCCAAACATAATGAGTTGGTGCTGGGCTATTGTACAGTTCTTACATGGATACTTCATAAATATAGGTTAGTGAATGAGCTTGTTTGTCTGCTGTGTTGCTGCTGTTTAGTGAAGAATCTCTGTGGATTGCAACAGTCTTTGACATAGGGGTGACCATTCATATTATTAAAACATGGATATCATACAAGAAGGGGGTTAATAATGCTTCAGGCGTATTTGTGCACAATAGATGCACCTGTTCACATTAATGCAGATATGGCACATTCTGTTTCTCGTGAGCCTGGAGTCCTGCAGGGTTTACAGGTAGGAACTTAAGAGAGGTTACAAATTAGTACCATTTAGCCCATCTAGCTTGTGTGGTTGCTAGTAGATGCTTGATCAGAGGATCTCATCCAGCTTTTTCTTGAAAGCAAAAACTAAGGTATCGGCTTCAACAGCATGTCTGGGTATCTTGTTCCTTACTCCCACACCCCCTTTCATAAAGAAAGGCCTCCAGTTCTTGATTTCAAATGCACTGTCCATCTAGTTTCTACTGCTCCTAGATTTCACTTCTGATTTTGGTACTTTTGCTTTTTAATGGCAAGACTAAGTCCTAAAGGAACAGGTGCTTCAGTTCATTTTCCAAGTGCATTCACTAAGATCAGAAAGAAGAGCCATGGGTCTGTTGGTCTTGATGAGCAGAGTAGTCCATCTCTAAGTTAATGCGTGTAGGCCAGTGGGTTTCCACACACCTGCTGATTTTCAGTTAAATAATTGAACCCTTAATAAACATAAGACGTTTAGTTTGAACTGTTTTTTTAGATCCTAACTTATAGGAGGTTTCCACTTAAGTGTTGTGTTTCTTAAACTGAAAATCTCCAAACTTTGAGTACAAGAAAATTGAAAAGGTTTTAAACAAACGACATGAACTGTAGGTGCAATTGAGGAATCATTCAAGTAAAGAACTCGGAAAATCGGTAGCTGTGTGGGTCACCAGGACCTGACCTGCTCAAACCCATTACAGCTACCTGTGTGAGGGCTTACGTTGTTAAAATAGCTCATTTTAAAAAGCTCAGTTATAATAATTTGTGTAACATTGATATTTACTATGTAGAAACTATAACAAACATCTATCTTTCAGTGCATTGTAATTATTTTATGGAGAGTATACTTAAAGGTACAGCTTATTTTTTCAGGCAGTTAATTTCTGTGATAAAAGGAAATATTTTATGTGTATGTGAAAATCAAACTTTTCAGGGTACATTAAGGCATACTTTGACAGGTTTGAGGTGATAGAAGTTTAGGGGAAAAAAACATCAGACTTGGTTCTCTTAAAGCCTGTTTGTTTTCCCTATAAGTTGGTTGCCTCGTTTATTTCCTTCATGAAAGAAATGACCTGTCACTGTCCTGAATTTTGTGCTTCGTGGATATCTTAATTGGGACAGCTGATCACCACTGTAACTTGTGTGGATCCAAATAGTTTGGATGGTTCTCCCATGCTAATTGCCATATGTTACACTAATAGTGCTCTGAATTTCAGATTACAGTACCACTACTTTGAACCCATATCGTGTGTGGAATTATTTTTGTTTAAACTAACATAGCTCTAAGGCTCTAGGAAAAATGTCCTGAATCCTTTCAAAATTGAAAATGATTTTACCAGTTCCACCTTTGGTATTGCAGACATGCTGCAGGCTATCTGAGAACTATCTTCTGTAGTTTAATACTGTGCCAAGATAAACTTGGAACATACTTTGCAATGTTTGATCATCCTTTAGAAATGAGCACACTAACCCCATATAAAGTAATAAAGTGACTTGCACGAAGAGATCCCAGAGGGTTTTTGTTCAGCAAAACATAGTGATAGCTTGCCTATTTTAAACCATAGCAGTAGTGGTCCAGGAATGATTCTGCAGAAGCTTTCCTTGATTAGAGAACACAAATGGACACTTGCTTTGCCACAGTTCTGCTTAAAATCCCTGATGCTGCATGGCACAATGCTATCATGTTGAAAGACTGGAACAGGTTTTCCTTAATTGTGAATGGCGTGTAAAGAAACAGTCATGCCCAGTCAGTCAGTCCCAGTCCCTCTCGCAAACTGATTTCCTTGGGAGTACTATAAGTGCAATGTGGAAACTATTAAATATATGTATTTGCAGTTTGATTGTACACTGTGTCCACACTAAAGGTTTGTATTAAAAGATTTGAGGGATGTACCAAATAAGCCTGTTTGTGGCACCATTCCTGTTTTTACCAACTTGGAAATCACAGAATTAATAGCTGTGTCGAGGCAGCAGTATTTCTCACAGGTTTACAGAACTGAGACCATTAAAGATCATCTTCTCCTTAATAACTGTCTTTTACTGTTTTAATGACCCTGCAGCCATGGAAATCTCCCACGTTGTTATTACATAAGTATGTGGTGAAATTTTAAATAGAGCACTGAAGTACAAAGAAGGATATCGCTATATCAACTACCGTTCACATTGCCATGTTAATATGATGGTGGTCTTGCTGTGTGGAAATTGGCTGTCTTCACATCATCCAAATGAATTCAAATTCTTTGTTTTGGCTGAAACTGGGTTTAATTCCTCACACTTTTATATAGCACTTTTCTGGACACTCCACTCAAAACACTTTACAGGTAATGGGGACTCCACCACCACCATGTGTAGCACCCACCTGGATGATGTGACAGCAGCCATAGTGCACCACTACACTCACCCCACATCAGCTATCAGTGGGGAGGAGAACAGAGCCATTTGTGGGGATTATTAGGAGGCCGTGATTGGTTAAGGCCAATGGGAAATTTGCCCAGTGCACCCCTACCCTTTTCAAGAAACACCCTGGAATTTTTAATGACCACAGAGAGTCAGGACCTCGGTTTTACGCCTCATCCGGAGGACGGCACCTTTTTACAGGATAGTGTCCCCGTCACTATTCTGGAGCATTAGAACCCACACAGACTGAGAATGAGCGCCTCCTACTGGCTCCTCTAATACCTTTCAGCATCAACCTTAATTTTTCCCAGGAGGTCTCCCATCCTGGTACTGACCAGGCTCACACCTGCTTAGCTTCAGCAGGTTGATATAACTGCTGGCTTAACTCATATATTAACATTGTAAATAGGTATATGGCTTGTTCACATATTGAATTTCAGTTATATACAATTGCTTTATCAGTGAGAAGCAGCATGAACTCTTAAAATAAAATAAATGTAAAATAGAAAAAATAAATGTGCAACTGTCTACACAGTATCCGTTGATAAACAGACTGAAGGAACTGAACCTTTTTAGTCTTTAACAGAGAAATGTAAAGAGACCTGATACAACTGGAAACTGTAAAAGTGTGCTTCAAACCAAGAACAGGGGTCTTTTTTTATCCAAAGGATTGTGGGCGTATAGAACAAACTACACAGCCCTGTTGTTGAAGCTGATACTCTGGCTTCTTTCATGAAACGACTGGATGAGATCCTGGGGTCAATTAACTACTAATTACCTACCAAGCCAGATGGGCGTTATGGCCTCATCTCATTTGGAACCTTTCTTACATTCTTAGGACCATTTTAAAGGATCTAGGATTAATACTCAACGGAAAATTGTTCTTGAGGATTTAAGGGAAAATGCTTAGTGTCTGAGATGTTCATTGAAAAGAGGCTCACTTATTTTGTAATTCAATTTTTATCTGGAAAACTGAATTGGTTAATAGCAAGTTTTAGTATTTGTTAAAATCCCTGTAAGTATTGAAAACATAGCATTATTCTTTAGATTTTAACAATGTGCCTGCTGCAAAAAATCTATCAATTAACTTTTCCAGCAATAGAAAACATTTAACAATGCTTATTCTGTATTACATCATAGAGGTCACTGTGTTTAGAGGTAAGTATTGAAATAGTTTTTTCATTTTGTAATATACTTACACAAATGTGTAAGTACAAAAGACAAATTGTCATTTATAGTATACAAAGCCTTAGTGTTTACTATGAGTTTATTATGGAAAGTTTTCTGAACAATGACCATGCATCTTTGTTTCTGCCAATTTATGGTGTCTGTAAATCCTAAAATAGAAAAATGCAGTCTGAAAGTGTAGAGCTCTAAGATCAGAAGAATTTGGAGTTTCTGTTCTTGTTTTTCCAGTTGACCGGTTTAACACAAAACATTATTCATCCCGTAGTAGTGCAGTCATTAGTTCTAAATGATTGCCTTTAATATCTGTTATTTGCTTCCTATCAGACGGACATCAGTGTGATTTTTGGGATGGATTTCTGGAGCTCTGCCAGCCAAACTAGGCCAATTTAGTTCCAGTACACAGGGTGCTACAGGTGTATGGATCACTGGGTTGTCGTTTTCACTAAACATTTAATGCTTTTAATTTTGAAAAAGGATGTCTAAAAATCTACTTGTCTTTGTTTTTAAAGAGATTGTTTTCATTCTTATTTTTGTAGAAGGTTACATCTTTGTTTGTAACCTGTTCTCATTTCTCTGACAAAGACTGTTTTAGCTTTGTAGGACCCAGTTCAATGCTGCATTCCATTTTATATGTAACACTGTTCTATGGTGGGAAATTCAGCCTTAGAGGTGTTGAAATTCTGATTAATCTTTGCTGACACTTCAACCTTTACTAGTTGTTTAGGAGCATTAGTAGAGTGTCTTTTAAAAGCTTTGGCTTATGTACTATTATATTTCTTTGATTTGACTTTCATTTAAAATTATTTCTTATATCTTGATCCCTGTGGGATTTCTTCTATTTGTCTTGAGTATCATTGTAACGTAATCCTAGTTTTATTCCTTCACCTACCACAGCATTAATTGTTTAATGAGATTGTTCTTAAGAAGATTTGAGGTATCTTAAATTGGAATTAGTGTAATGGGATTCTAGGTGTTAAAATGACCTTTAGCTATTGTTGCTTAATTTGGAAAGTGAAAGTCTCACTAGAGTACTAGCGTTCAGATTTGTCTCTGGACCTGATGTTTATTTCTTTTTCTGCTTTCAGGAGGGGACCAGGGAATTCTGAACAGCTTCTTCAGCAACTGGGCTACAGCAGACATTTCCAAGCATCTTCCCTTTATTTACAATCTAAGCAGTATAGCGATCTACTCTTATCTTCCAGCATTTAAGCAGTATGTATGTCCTAAATGGTTAATTTATCTCTTTTTGTGTTGGCTGGTTTACACATAATCTTCAGGCCAGGTTTCTGTTGCCTAAAAGCAGCCCATATACTTCTAGGTTTTTGACTAAATGACTACATTTGTTTCTGATTATCAAATCTTTTAAATTAATAAATCATTTTGTTGATTCTCTTGCATCTAATCCTAAAGATTTTGTACTGGTTCAAGTCCAGACATTAGTAACTTTCCTAAAGTGATGCGAATGGCACCATGGGCTTTTCTGATGTGTAATTTGTATGAAACATCATTTGGAAGTACCACACAAAGTCGTTTTATACCCCTCAACTCTATGTACTGTAGTATGTAGACTGGGTCTGCTGTTAAAATTGATGAGCCATTAGAGAATATAAGGTCACATGAAAATGTTTCGTGCCACGGTGTGACATCAGGTTACCAAAGATTAGAGCAACAGCTCGCATATGCATTACCAATGCTGGCCTCTTTACAGCTCTTGGATATCCACCATGGGTTCCACAGCTGAGATACCATTGGCTTAAAATAGCACAGTTTATTTAAAGACATTTATGCATGGCTAGAGTATAAAATGGTGCTGGGTGTTCATTAAGCTCTGCTAAAGACCAGACCTTGTGCTTTCTGTGAATTGAGATGGAGTGAGAAGGCTTCACTAGTTTAAGAGAAAACAGGCAGCTCTTATTTCCCACATTCTCCATTTCTTTGTTGTTTCCTTACTAAGTAGCAGAGACATTATAGCCTCTTGGATTTGTTGAACATTTCTTCCTACAATTAAATCATATTTTAGAAATAAATGCAACTTCGATTAATTTTACATTTCTAAGAATATGTTTTACAGAACAATGACTGGTTTGAGACCGTTGTGTACTTTATTTGGAGAAAAATAAAATACACCTTGTTAGTGCAAGCTCTGTTAATCAAATGCATCTTTTAGAGCTTTAAGCAAATACAAATAAAGAATGTTGTCAATAATGTGAAATTTGTCAAATAACGGTGAATAATGTTCGTATGCTGAGGTCAAGGGCCAAACTCATTTTGTAATATTTAGCTTACAAGATCATTTGCAGAATTTGTATGATGAGATTTAAAATTTGCCCCCCATGGGTTTTCAGTGAAATCCTATTGCTTTCTCTGATGCATGGCAAGTTGGTAACATCGATGTACAGCAACTCCTTGCTTAATGCTGAGGTTGTGGTCCAGAGAAGGGAGAATTGTGGGAACCAGTGCTCAGCATTTACAGCATGGGTTCATGTGTTCCCAGGGGTGCTACTGTATATCTAGCATATGAGCAACGTAGGATGGCTTTATTGGGGTATCAGTAATGGCATTGCTGGTTTTTACCACAGAATCTAATTATAAAGCCATTGTGTACAGAATGTATAACTACTTTAAATTATAGTTACATAAAGTCTGAAATACACAGAATTTCATAGAAATCGTGCTGTGCAGCAACATGTGTGATTGGGGATTATGTACATTAAGTATTGTCTGCCTTCGCTCCTCCAAGCAGTAGTGGGAGGCTGATCGGAGGAGCTGCGTCTGCCAGGACAGACCAGGCTGTAGCTGAGTTTGACGGTTTTTTTTTTGATGAAGTGAGTTTTGTTGAGCGGTTATAAATGTAATGTCATACAGTACACGCCACAATCTCACTGGCTGAGAGCTTGCTGGCTATTGTACATTACATTTTGCCTTTGGCACTAAAAGTAGTTGTTTCCGACTGGCCTGTATGCATACAGACAGACAAACAGACATTCTTTTATACTTGTGTATTTGGAGTAATTAAACTCATGGGCAGGACAAAAAGCACAATGGCAACTCGGTACTGAGTGAGGCATTGTTATACCTACAGTATATATAAACACAGTCCATTGTAATTTGGAGAATAATTCTTTTATACAGTAAATGGAGAAGTTGGAAAACTCTTATAACCAATCTGAGGACCTCAGATGTCAAACAAAACATACTGGGTGTTTCTTTTCCCTTGTAATTGTGCAGGTATGGTAGCAATGCCAAGGTGGTCCATTTCCTGGGAAGAGTTAAGCCATGGAATTACAGTTATGACTCAAAGACAAAAAGTGTCCATGGTGACTTCCAGGAGTCGTCTACACTCCATCCAGACTTCCTGGCTATGTGGTGGAGCATCTTCTCCACCTCTGTAATCCCCTTGCTTACAGAGAAAGGAGTTTTGAAGCCATCAGAGACTGGATGCCAAGCGGTAAGTGATAGTTTTGCAGTTTTTCTTCTGACCGTTATTTATTTTAAAAACACTTGTAAAATCCCTCCGAGTCTGCTGTGTGGGTGTTGTGTTTTGCATTGATTTAACATGCATTTGTAATATTGAAGAAATTGATATGAAGATAACACAGCCTATTGACAGTTCTCAGTGCTGTATGCTACATGGAGTTGCAGATCCACATTGGTGCACAGAATGATATGGCTGTTTGGATTAATACTAATCCAAACAGCTTGATCATTTTCATAGCCCCTCTTTCCTGTAAGGATCTGACCTCCTCACAAGGAAATAGTCCATGTCAGAATTTGTTCATTGCTATAAATTAGTGCTGCCTTGTCTTATAGTAGTGTATAATTTGTTATTCTTATGTATTGTAACATAATAAGAGTTACCATAATTGCGGCATTGGAATTCAAATAGAATTTTAAAGGAGTTTTGTAATATTTAGTACTATTGCTGTTTTAAAGATTGAAAAATACACCTTAAATTTATAAACAAGCAGGCTGATTGAAGAAAATCATTAAAGGAAAGAGTGGAAACTTTTGCCTGTGATATCTATAATATCACAGGCAAACTAGCTTAGGTCAGTTCATACGTGTCTTGTATTATTGACGTTTTGTTGTATGAAAACACCAGAGAAGAATAATGTGTCCACTGATTCTGCTTGGGGTTGACTTCTCATCTGAAAATGTCTTACCATGTACTCTTAGTGCAACAGAAATTGAAATATTTAAATTTCTAGAACAGCCTGTTTAGAGTGGAGTTTCTCAGCTCTGGTCCTTGGGATCTGCAGTCTGGCAGCTTTTGGCTCTTTAAATCATCAAAGGCTTAAAAGCCCTGAGGAAGAGATGAATTCAACCCTTTGAACTCTGGATTAAATTAACCATTTTCCCTGCTTTACTGCTATTTATATAGTCCTTGCAAAAGTAATCACCCATAGCCAATAATATTGCATTTTTATGCATTTCCTGTAATGTATATATTTTTCTAAATAACTTTTTTTCAAAACTGTTATGATCAAAGTGAACATTATTCTAAGAGCAGTAATGTCTAACAAAACTGCAGACAAGATGTATGGAGCAAAATGTGATTACATAAGTATTGAAGTAAAGGCTCCATAAGCCTTTACTTACCAGAAATTGCTCAAGTTCTAAAAGTTCATTAGGTATCATGGAAGGACTCATGCCCCACCATGCATTTTCTAAGAATATTTTTGTATCCGATTTTTTTTTAAATGTAATATCTGCTCATTGTTCTAGCTTTGTCAGATCATTCCTTTAAGTATAATTCCATTTTGAAAGTTTCAAGATTGCAAGATCAGAGAGTAAGAAAATCTGTAAACTTTGCATGGGGGTGAATAGTTTTGCAAGACACTAAATATAACCATGGTTGTTAAGAGCTCTGTCCTACTGCATTCATTTGATGCCGTAACATGTGGACAAACACACCAATACCGAGAATACAACCCTTTAAATTTTAAAAAGTGCCGAACGTGGATTCATTTTTGGGCTATGACTGCAGTTAGTAATACCTTTCACGCATTCATGTTCTTGAGATTAGCAATGTCACTGCATCTTGAATTTACAGTATAGCAGATTTGAATTCCCCACCCTTGTTTTTGAGAAACTTCACTTGCAACAAGAGACGGACTGTTTTGAACCAATTCTCTGTTGCTAATGTTGCATCTTCCTTTCATCTTTTCACTTATCTGATAAACTTTCAGCTCTCAGACTTGGTCTGTACTCTGGCATTATCTTGTGGCTTCTGTTCAGAGGTATGCAGAACTCCAGCCTAGGCCTGCCTCTGCTCTAGCTGCTGTATTATTTCTTTTTTGTTCCCGTCTTCCATTTTTTTATATCATGAGCATAACAAACATTAGAAGGGGATCCTCATGTGTTCTAAATGTCTGTGCTCCATTAAACGTAATGTTTAATCAAGTCAGTCAAAAACTTTATTTCCCTCTCCTCCACTCCTCTGAAAAACGACTGGTTTTCTATCCAAAGTTACGTTTCAAAAAATATACGTAATATTGGGGGGGAGGGGGGAAATAGCCAGGTCAGAGGTTAAATCAACTTGAGTGGTGTATTTTGAGTGTTTATTAGTGGGAAGACGACCTCTAGGCTGAAACCATGTGCTGTTACGTTAATAGGAACATTACTGTTTAGATCACATGCCCCTCTTATCATTTTTTAAGATATTAATTTTGAAGAAGATGCCATTTTTGTGAAAGGCTTGCACTGCATGACTTTTATTTTAATATGCATCTTTCTTTTTTTCTTTTAAACCCTTCTCCTTAAGCGGTGCTAACAAACTGCATTTCCCTTCCAGGATGCAATAACTGAGGGAGTGTCCCAAATTCGAGTCACTCCCTCCCCTCCACCCATTTCCTCCGAGGAACGGAAGCAGAGGTGGGAACAGGGGCAAGCAGACTACATGGGAGAGGACTCTTTTGAAAATATACAGAAGAAGCTCGACTCCTTCTTAAAGTAAAATACACTGAAAAATGAAACGAAGAGTTGCAGTTATACAGATTGATTCCAAAAGGATAGTAAAGCACACTCAGAACATGGTCCACATTCTTTTGCTACAGAGAGAACGTTCATTGAAAGTTACACAAATATAGAATACAGAGAAATGGTAGAATGTGTATGCAATATGGAATCCTTCCCCCAAATCTGGTATCCTTAACTCCCATCGAAGCTCATCAATAGTGGTGTCGGCACTGTTGCAAGAATTTTTTATTTATTTAAAAACTATAGTACAGTAGGTCAATGCCTTAACCTAGTATTATACAGCATGAGTTTAGAAGCCCGTCTCTTTAATCAAACATATGGCACATGTTGCTCTGTGAAGAAAGTCCACAAAACGCTTACCAACATAGGAAACGAGGCTTGCAAAAAAATGTTGCAATTCTGAAGTTTAACGGTCATGCTAACTCAATAAATTGCCAAGTTTGTCAACTCTATTTCCTACTTTTCCATAACTCCCCTGCTTATAGAGGGGTGTTTTTTTTTACTTTGTGGCTGAAATATAGACTTATAAATTAATTGTAGATACTGAAAATATCAAGTCATTTTAGAATGGCTATGAATGTTTTATCCTGATATTTTAATGATACTGATCTGGTATACCCAGATCTCTCAACCCATGAAAACGTGAACAGTCTCTAGGACCTCTCTGTATATATTTTGCATGTCTGTTACTGAGATGTTATTAAGGAGCATTTCTAATAGCACTTAACAATTAAATACATCAACCCGAGTAAACTTTCCTACATACAATAGTTTTATGAGATCGTCTTTTTTTCTGTCGCTTCTAAGTCCCTGGGAGCAAACTTTACTCGGCCTTAGCTTAATATACTGTACTGTTTACAAAAACACCACTGCACTGAGACTGCTGCTGTAACTGAAGTTTCATGCTTGTATATTGTTCTGGCCCTTTGAACAGTGGTAACACTCCAGTAGTTTCAAAAGGCTGTCTGCTCCATTGTGGGGAGCCTTAACAAAGCACGAGTATTTTGCTTCTTGTGGTCTCTGCATATATAATCGCACACTGATGCCTCTGTGAAATTAGAAAAGTGTCGAATTCACTGCTGGGATAACTAAACTGCTGAAACATTTTTCTGTACCATTGCACTTTATCTGCAAAATAAAAGTAGTGATGTGAAAAAGAATACTTTTTGTTTTTAGGATGGGGGAAGAATATACTAAACCAAATGCAAGTATCCCAGCACTAGTTTTACTTGAAATATTTTTTTTACCCCCTAAGCAAAATGGATTTTACAGTTTTCACTTGCTGCTTTCTTTGTTTCATAGGTGTGCTTACAGAAAACCAAAATACCTTTTGTTTCTAACACTCTATGAATGTGTTTAAGTCATTTTTTTTTGTTTCACTTGCCTTACATGTGGTTTCAATAGAGATCTTAGCATGCAAAAAAAAAAACAACTTAGAAACTCCAAATCCTGAGAGATTTGTTATTTACCCAGACAATTTTGAGCTCTGAAATTATTGGTTGGGTTGGAATTTTCATTCTATTCAGTCTGAAGCTTTAGTAGTTGTATGCACTATCCCATACAGTCATGATCATCTTGTATGATTTTATGCAGCATAGAGCTCAATACCTTTCCTTCAACAACTGGAACTAAATGGGAAATTTGACCCTTTGTTTAAGATACAAAGGACAGTATACCACAATGGATACCATTGCGTACTGGCAATTATGAATGTGTTAAAATATTAATCATAGCCAGGTGGAGGTAGTACCTGTATTTCATGTACATAGATTCTATAAATCACTTGTTTTTGCAAACCAATAATTAAGACAGAGGTGAACGAGGAAGTTAGCCTTTTCCTTCTAGTAGTGACGAAACTGACTCCTTGATTATTTCCCTTCAGAGAATTGGTAATTGAAACAAACTTGTTCTGTCACTGATGGGGAAAAAAAAAAGATCTGAATTTTTTTGTAGCACTGCAGTACAAAACACTTCAGGACATGTTTTGTTACAGTTTGTGAACCCTTTGGAATCATCTGTATTCTTGCATTATTGCTCCTAAAGTGTGATCCGATCTTCATTTAAGTCATAATAATTGATCAACAAAATCTGATTAAACAAGTAGCATACAAACAATTGTACTTTTTCATGTCTATATTGAATACATTGTTTAAACATTCACTATCTGTGCTGGGAAAAAATGTGTGAAGGAGTACAGATAATTACTGGAGCAATACATGTAATTCCAAAGGGGTTCAAAAACTTTTTTTTTCACCACTGTAAATTGAGTATAGAGCAAAAAGCCCTTGCTTCACAAATGAACAGTCCTACCACTTAAAGTTCATTTGCAGTATTATGTTAAAGATAAAATGATAGATTTGACATCACGTCACTAGATTTCAAAGCAGATGTACTAAAACATAGGAACAAGTAATAGGTTTATTCCATGCTGAAAAAAAGAAGAAAGAGAACACAACGTTTCGGCCGTGGAGCCTTCTTCACCTGAAGAAGGCTCCACGGCCGAAACGTTGTTCTCTTTTTTCTTTTTTTCAGCATGGAATAAACCTATTACTTGTTCCTTTGCAGCCTACGCATGCTGACGCAGCTACCCACCTGTACTAAAACATACCTTGTTTCCAGACACAGAGTCACAAAATTTATGTGTATTAATCTCATTAGGCCTTGGCAGGACCTCTGGGATTTGATTCAGGATAAATTAGATATCACTCATTTTCAGCATAATGCAGGGAACACTCAGTTTGTAATGTGTGCAAAGTTAATCTCTCTAGTGCAAAAGTAAGATTGTTGATGCTTAATTTTCTTTTAAATTATTTTCCTATACTATTTACAGTAAATTAAGATTCACAAGGCACGACACTGTGTTCTGTATTTTACAATACCTTTTCATTTCACCACTTTCCTAATGAAGAATCTTTACATACAGTATATAAAAATTTGCAAAATATGAAAGTACAAAATGCAACATAAATTTCAAATAAAAGCTGTAGTTTTGCAGTCAATGGTCCCAAAAGCCAAGGAATTAGGTTAGATTACTAAATCTCCATAAGCGTTTTAATTTCTTCAATCCTTGCTTGCTTTCTCTCGTTCAAATTCTTGAGTCCAAAGGCTTTTGCTACCAGGTCTCGCTTCTTCTTTTGTATTTTTATCATGTTTTCTTCAACAGAGTTTTTCACAATGAACTGGAAAGACAGAATTCAAGTAAAACATCTTAATTTATGTCAGCTGGTACATGTTGTTCTTGACGTAAGTAGCAACACATTTATAAAAAAAAATCATAGATCAGAGTACACAGTTCTAACAATTAATATTAAAGTAATATAAATCCATCGCCAAGCTCCTGTCTGCTAAAGGATCAATAACCTTTATTTTATAAACTTAAATATACCTTTAAACCTTCTTTACTTTATTACCTGAGAACAAGTTTTCATCTATTGTACATGAAATTGAACTACTGTACATGAAACCTATTGTTCATTGTAAAATTGTGCTTGGCTTCAACAAAGGCATTTAATACTAAAATACAGATCCAAAACATGTAAGGTTATTAGTCATTTGCTATATAATGATGAAAATGGAGGATCCAGTTTATGACTATTTTGTTTTTCCTAAATTCTACCTGTATACAATCAAATGCAGAAAAAATGTTCACCTTGGTGATGACTACATCTCTTTTCTGACCAATCCTGTGGCACCTATCAAAGCACTGGTCTTCAGCTGCAGGATTCCAGGCCTGTAAACAGAGATTCACACCTATCTCACACAACTCCTTTTCCATTCATCCAAATGTACCCCTGATGAAACAGGAACCACTAACATTAAATAAAAAGAGTTACAGATTGGATGATGTTTCTTGGTTTATAAGACCTAAAGTGACACAGAGCAATCTTCTCACTGTTGCACAGAACAAAGCCATGCGTCATAAATCACTTGAAGCTCACAAAATTATTCCAACAACTATAGCTAGTATTTTGTAAATCCTCCTCTGGCAGGGATTACGCAGACTTCTGCCATCTGTGCACAACCCCCTATACCGGGGGCCGTGACTGTTCCCTTCTGCCTGGAGAAGGGCCCTACCTTCACAGTGCAACTTGGAACACTTACCGGGTCCATGAGGAAAATCCTGGAGGCTGCGGTTAGGTTCAGGCCCACTCCTCCGGCCTTAAGGGACAGCAGCAATATGGTCGGCGTTCCTGGGTTCGTGTTCTGAAAGGCCTGGAGAGCTGCCACTCTCCTCTTCTGGTTCATGGAGCCATCCAGACGTGTAAACGAGAAACCACGTTCTCTAATCCCCAAGGAGAGAATTGAATGGCCGTTATCTTTTTTTGCCCAGCACAGGGATGCACACCATGGTGTAATTTGTTTTCTTGAATGATATGTCATCACATTTCCCGAAGGCACTCTCAGCTAACAGTGGGAGTCTCCACTCCAAAAGCAATGACATGCCAACACTTGATCTAACTGTCTGCCTCAGTTATCAATTTTCTAATCAAAGGGAAACACCTTTCTGTGACAAGGTAATGCCAGTTACTGAATGTTTTCGCTTTGCTGGAGCAAGGTACTTAAAGCACGAAGGAATTCAGCAATTTCTCTAAAGACAAAGACACTAGATACATTACACATCAATATGATACAAAAAAGGAATTACTTTTATGAAATTAGAAAATAAAATATAAAAATTAAAAATAAAGATTGGAAATAAAATGACTGATCATGTTAATTAAGCTACAATTACTTTAATTGAGTTAACATTTCCATTATATCTGCTCTATTAGTTTCTCCCTTAGGCAGTTCCAGTAGGTTTCCATACCTATCAACATGGACCCATTCCATTTGTTAGTCTCTTGATATAAAGTGCTTAATGTTCCATCCTTGAATTTTACTTGAACAAGAATTACATTACAAAACATTCAATAATATTCAGGTCGCAAACGAAGCAGATTGTGAAAGACTTACCTCAGAGGGATTTCAATCAGAGACAGAAACTTTGTGAATTGAGAAACCACTAAACTTTTTATGTTGGGATCTTTGTCACGGATTTTTTGTAACTGAATCATCAGGGCGTCTACCTATAAAGCCACAGATTGTCAAAGAAAACCCAATAAAAAATGAAGTTAAGAAGAGAAAATGCATATACTGTATCTTATTTAAAACAATAAAGCTTAGTTTTGTCCTCCAAATCTGTCCCTTTATTTAGTCACACAATGCTGACTGATTTAACTTCAAACTTTGAGGAGATCGAAATGAACAGGACAAAATGTATTCTAGGATTATGGACAGCCCAGTTGCAATAAACAATAAATATAAAAACATGAAAAATTACAATATATATCAAATCAAAGTGTTGTAGCCACACTTAGTCTTTAACCAAAACACTGAAAGTGAATAATCTCTGCTTTACTTGAACACAATGGCTATTTAACTTACTACGACAAAGTTAATTTAGATATGACACTTAAAAACTTGAATGTCCTATGCATAAACATGGAGTTTTGTTCACCTCTGTATACCCATTCCCCTGTCAATTCACTACTGAGGGTACACTCCTCCTTGTCAAGTTGAGGATGTAGGTCATGTGTTTTCAGGCTGGACTAGCAAATAGCAGAGTGCAAAGTGAGGCAACTACAGTGGCCAGCAGTGGAAATACATATTTTTTTAATTTGACCTGGCAGTGAAAACTGGGTACACTCCTCGTAAAAGTGACTTGCCTTTGAACTTGACAAAAACCCGTCTCCAGCTTCTTCAGATTCCAGTTCGGCTTTCTCTCCAGGATATTCAACCAGCTCCTCAACTTTGATTTCTCCCCTACAAAGGGGGCATTTGGCATTCTGATGGAAGGTACATGCAGAGGAAAATTGAGAATTGGCAGGTTATTGGAAACCGTGACTCTGATTTCCAGTGGTGCCTGAATTTACATTTTTACAACTCTGCAATGAATGTGGTAAATTCAACAAAACCTTAGTTGCTTCACAGCAGGCTTGGCTTTGTGCACTCATTGTTACAACATTAAAAATAAAGATTCTTCGATTTCAGCGTTTTCATCCAAAATGTTGCAGATTTCAAGATAGCTACATATTTATATACCTAATTTTACATCTTAGTTTAGGAGCTATAAACAAGGATTGCAACTTCAAAAAAATAAGAATGACTTAATTAGAATAAAAAACAACAAAGAGTGGGTCCACACTGAGGGGAAATGAGAATCCTTGCTGTAGAAGGAAGGAAAGGGAAAGCCGATGAGCATTTAACTCTCAAGAACCTAGAACTATCACTGCCTCAGCCAGTTAAATGTTTTGTTTTTTTTTGTTCTAACAAAGTAGAATATTAAGTGAAACTGAAGTATCTATTTTATTAACTAATTGCGATATACTGACCCTATATAATGATGAAAAGGAAGTAACTGTTTCTAGTCTGTCATAAACAGGCAGTTTGTAACACTTTTCAAACAAATTGAAACTGTTTTTATTCAATTTGAGTCCTGAAATGACTTACTTCTTTAAATCAGTTTTCCTCTAATTTGTCATCTCCAGCGCGACACAATAGGTGTACACTGTCAGTGACTTGTGCACAACGTGCACTGAATGTGAAAACCATTTTTTTCAGTTGCTGCCGTACGAACCTGTTCTGCGCGGATGACTTCACAAATGCAAGGCTTGCAATACACATGCGCACACTGTGTTATCACAGGCAACCTGAGGGACTCCAAGCATATGGCACATTCTTCATCCGAACCAGAGTTCAGAACCATGTTTATTTTGTTTATTAGCTTCTCTCTTAATTCACTTGGCGTTGCATCTTCTGTTTTTTGCCAAAAAGAAAAGGATTTATTATAAGCTCATACTTCCAATGCAAGGCTAAAAGGACGCATTGAAATCAGTAAAAATAACATACATCACGTTCTCACTGTAAAACATTTCCGGACAAGCAAATTACTTTTGCTTTTAAAAAATTAACACTTGGACTTCTGCTCTGAACTGGAGCTCAGCCATAGGGAAAGCTGCTGGAAAATAAGAACACCCACTTGCCTCCAGGCCACACAATACAAGCACTCAAGTGCGAACATGGAAAATAAGACATGCTGGTTATTTCATCATATTTGTCAGTTTTCATTTTTTTCAGGTATCCAAATGCCGCATTGCAAATCGTTCACCAGCCACTTGTTTTAATTTGGAAAGACAGCCGTGCTGTTCTCACACTAACCTGTTGGTCCTGCTGCTCCAGGGGAGTTCCTCAGCAACCCTGGATGGCAGCACACCTGCCGAAGCCTGACCAAGATGGCTAAAACGTCGGCATAGTTTGTCAAGACAGTCCCTTCCCTGAAGTACCTGGAATTGGATTCCGGTGAGACAGAGAGAATGAATACTGATGAAGGTGGCTGGGGAGGGCTCCAGTTGGCTAGGATATCCTCATCGTGCTTTATCAACAGATAAAGGTTGACTTTAAAACTTGGATGTTTCTAGAACTATTCTATATATATACACATTAATAAGAAAATTGGGAAAATTTTAAGTGGCAATGTATTGCTTTAGAAATCAACTATCCCCACACCACATAGAACAGTGTTACGGATGACTGTTTAAAATTTCCTCCAGCTTTTAAAAGTAAACCCTCAAACCCACAATTTACACTTTGAAGGTAAAACAGCTCCCACCCACAGTACAAGGCGACACTTAGTTTTTTCTGCACTGGCTCTGAAACGCATCGCCTTCTGAGAGCCGTTGTTCGGAATCGGATGACCGCCGGGGCTTACCGTCTGATGATGGACCTGCCTTCCTTCTGGACTGCCTCGTACACCCGTCTCTCGTCCTCGGTCAGCGTCACATGCTGAACGCGCACATTCCGCTGGGGCAGCTCCACCACGGGCTTGCCTTTTATTGTACTCGCTTTTGTCCTCCTCAGAGTGATACCCTTAATCAATGCCTGCAGGTGCCTGAAAGAGGAAAACAAACCCGTTCAGGTGAGATTGTTTGCTGAAGAGCTGACCCATGCCACATAATAAAATGGGCACCTCAAAACCTCTCGTTGAGGACTTGCCTTCGGCGTAAAAGGCTTTGCATCAGGACCTTTATATAGCACACTAGCGTAGTACCGGATACAAAAATACTTTTACCTGCCCCATTCTGTTCATGATGTTATCATTATCTACATGGCAAAGCATCATTGGACAGTTAAACCTCAGCAAGAGAACACAATGCAATGGAGAAGACTCATAATCCAATGCTGTCAGTACAAATACAAAGTGCAAATATGTCTATACATTCACACACACCCCATATTACATACTGTAATGCTATGCATATTTCAAGTTCATTGACTGCTTATGAATGCAATGTCATGCTTTTAATAATGGTAAATCAGAAAAGATACTCTTCCCACAGTCAATCCTACTCGTCAGTCAACCGCCCTTGTCCCTCAATACATACTGGAGTCCATCTTTATCACCCATAGTCACAGGTCGCTGAATGATTCTGTTCCACCACTCCTTCACATCGAAGGGTTTCAGCTTTAAGAAGGCGATCAATGTCCACACATCCTTCAGGGAGTTTTGGATTGGGGTACCTGAAGCCATAAAACAGATTTAAATTTAATGGCTTGTATGGTTAACAGGTTGAACCACGCTAAAGAGCTGACGAAACCATTTAAATACAATTCATACAGATATGAGAGGTAGGAAGTACAATGAATTAATTAATATCATACCCCAGGAAATGCCAATACTTAGATCACATCCCAAGACACGCACTAACACACTAATATGAATATAACAGCAAACAGCAAAAAGCCTAATGCATCTCTGTTTTTTTTAAGTGATGTTTTTTTGCCTAACATTCCTTTGCACTGAAAGGCACCACCTGGTGGACAGACAAGCACAGAGTTTTTTATTTAAACCTTTATTTACACAGATAATTTTCTTCTAAAACAAAGTGCAATATCCCAGAAGAGGCCCAGTACTAAAACGGGCATACAATGCAGAGATCTGCTTGCTTGGTGATGTTTCAAAACAACACTGCTTGCTCCTTAACCTCAACGTGTAAAAGGTCAAATAATGTTGGGGCAACGGTTTTTTACAGACCGACCTGTTAAAATCCATCTTCTCTGGGCTGTCAGATCCAGCACAGCCCTGCTCTGCAGTGCATTGGGGTTCCTGATCGTATGTCCCTCGTCCAGCACCACCCGCAGCCACTCCATCCTGTGCAACGGGCTGCTGTTCTTATTCTGTCAGCAATGGAAGAGGGGCACCACATAACTAATAATAGTCAACGTTATGTGACATAGCGCCTTTAAAGTTAGCTTCTCAAAGCACTTTACAGAACGACGGCAACAATAAAAAAAATTACACAATTATGCACAATACACAATAAGTGGAGACAGTAGAAGGAGGTACTGAATACAGTAAGAGTAGAGGGGTAAAGAACAGAACCAGTTATGTGAAAGCCCTTCTAAATAAGGTTTTCAGTCTGGATTTGAAGGAGTTTAGATAAGGTGACTCTCTGATACCCTTAGGAAGAGAGTTCCAGTGCTCTGGGGCATAAATGGAAAAGGTCCTGTCACCCATAGAGTGTAGACAGGCTTGGGGGACAGACAGGAGACCAGAATTAGAAGAGCGAAGGTTGCGAGGTGGGGAGTAGGACAATAGTAGCTCAGACACGTACTGAGGTGCCAAGCCACGCAGAGCCTGATAGGCGAGCATGAGGATTTTGAATACGACACGAAACCAACGCATTTTCTAACCGATTTATCCACTACGGGGGCCGTGGGGGAGCTGGAGCCTACACTGGAAAGCAGGATAGGACGCAAGGCAGGACACACCCTGACACACGCATGCACTCACACCAGGACCAGTTTTCACAGAAGTCAATTAACCTACAGTACCAGCATGTCTATGGACTGTGGGAGGCAAGTAAACCACCTGGAGGAAACCCACGCTAACACAGGGAGAATATAGCACATCCACGCAGAAACTGCAGTTCCGGAATCGAACCCAGGGCCCCAGTGCTGTGAGGCAACAATGAGAACCACTACGCCACCGTGCCACCCTCACATTTAAATCCTAATGACAAAATCACTCAAATACAGGGCAAGAATGTTTCTGTAAACAAAATCTTTGTGTGTGCAGTTGTCCTGGGGAGTAGCCTATCACATGAGGAAACAGAATTCAGAGCTTCTTCACTCACCCCGTAGTCTACAGCCAACACGTTGTAGGTTGTTAACACCACATCCTGCTTCGCCAAGAAGGAGGCATCTCTGCTGCGATCCGAGCCATAATACAGATACACATTCAGACTGACGTCCGCGCGAACATGCTGCTCAAACTGGTCCTGAAATATTTCCATATGTATACGTGAATTACACAGGTCCAAGGATACAAAATCACTTTGGTGGGAATGTTTTGGAAATGTAATACTTGTTAAATGGTTGTCATGCTTACAAAAACTGAAGATGGAAACATAGCCTAACACATGGCAACTATAAATTGTAGTTAAAATTGTTTTTCCTTACAATTAGGCTCTCCACATACTAAAAAATAAAAAACAGTAATAAAACTACTGTATATAGTTTTTCATTTCTGCCAACTTATTTTGCAAGGCATTTTTATAAATAGAACATTGTACATAAAACAACAAAACAAAACAGTTTTAGTTTTTGCAGTGACAAGACTGTCCTAATGTGGACAGAAACAGCACTGGTTATCTACAGCAGGGTGTTAGAAGCTACCTCTGCTGGCGGATACAAAGCCTGCACTTACCATCCAGTTACTGAGCACTGACAGAGGACAGATGATCAATGTCGCTCTGGCTATTTTAGTTTCAGTCCTAGAACCTTTAAAGGATGTTTTGGGAACACCTAACAAAAGAAAAGTACAAAATGGTTGACAAAACACCAAATCAGCATATACTGTATTCAACTTCTATTACTTGCACAATATAATGCAAATGTATTCAATGTATAATATAAATAAAGCTGGCTATGTTTAAGTAATAGAACTCTACCCACATGTACACGAAATAGGATTTTCCCTTCAAAATACACTGAAAACAGGCCTGACCTTTTTTGGGGGCTTTCTTTTGTAAAGGACGTTCAGCTATGAAACCCTCAAGCGCAGCAGCAAAATCTGCATCGTCCTTCAAGGCTGAAAATCCACCTATGAAAGCAAAGAACCCATTCAATGTACACAAAATTTAAGAATATCAATATTATACGCACCTACAAATACAGCCCCACATCAGCAGAGCCATTTCCTCTCATATATCGAGATGAGGATTACTGTACTTCAGAAACCCCTGTTTTACTTTGTTCCAATTAGTTGTATCACTCTTAATACAACTATTGAACTAAAAACTGATAACCTGCTTTATGCTAATTTTTGGTTCAATAAATGACTTGCTTTACCTGTACAATTTTCATGGCATTTGGCCAACAGAACCCAGCTTGATGTATCAACTGATTTTCCCCTAATGCTGTCAAAAAAGATCCTAAAAGGATACCAGTGAATGATGCTCAGACACAGGGTGAGGGTCAGTGTCAGAGAAATGAATTTTTCATTAACTGAAACACCAAAATAATACACCACAATGAAGGGAATTCTAAAATACAGCCCCTGGCACAGGGTTAATTCTTATTTCTAATCTCATTCTATTTTTAATCAACTGAAACAATTGTTAAACAATTAAGCAAACAAATAGTTTAATTAAAGGTTTGCGAACAAGAGATAGGTACTCCAGAAACATGACTGGATAAAATCATATTAACTTGCTTTTCTTTAAACAAGCAATTTAGACGCTCACACTGAACACTGCTCTGTGTGACTAAAATTCTTAAATAGCTTAAAAGTGGATGAAATATGTAATTCCTACCACGCATGTATTTAACATTGATTATTTTGACCTATTCCTTAATAGTTAATTCCTTAACAGTTAATGCATGGACATATGATCTTGCACTCTTTTTGCTTCTCCCTGGTCTGATTTGTCTTCAAATCAACAGACACAAACAAGCACACAAGTGAATTAAGGTGCACAGAGTGCTGGTAAAAATAAAACAATGGCAGTCACTTACTTTTCTTCTTGGGGGATACCCCACTGTCAGACCCTTCGGAATCACTGCTGTAGGTGTACTTAACCTTAACTTTAGATCTTTTTAAAAAAGACAAAGAAAACAAAGAAAGACAAAGAAAACTCTTTCCTGTTAAATGATGATATTCTGCATGGCACAACTACAGTACTGTATATCCAAAAAATATTTATTATGTGCAACTAGAAAAGCCATCTTCATAGCAGTAAATGTCAATATCACACCTCACACTCATTTTTTATTTTCCTTGCAAAATAATTTGTGAAAACAAGTAATTCATACTTTGCCCAAATTGGTGCATTATACATAATGACACGTTACTGTTCTTGGTCTCTTATGCATCCAGCTATTCATGACATCCACATCAGGAGAAAGATCAGTCAAATAAAGATACAGTATCAGTCAAAAGAGTTAAACTGATAAAAACTTCCATAGTAATAAGCATTGTTCCATAGTGATATGCAAGTAGGGGCGGGTCAGTGGCTCTGTGGCTAAGGATCTGCGCCTGTGGCTGCAAGGTTGCTGGTTCAATTTATTCAGAGGAATCCTACTCCGTTGGGCCCCTGAGCAAGGCCCTTCACCCCAACTGCTCCAGGGGTGCTGTGTAAATGGCTGACCCTGCGCTCAGCCCAAGCTTCTCTCCCTGTCTGTGTGACTCATGGAGAGCAAGCTGGGGTATGCAAAAAGACCAATTCCTAATTCAAGAAACTGTATATGGCCAATAAAGTGATCTTAAATCTTAAATGATAACTTGGTCAAAGCTGTGCCACTCCAATTTTCCTCTATTTGCACATCAGTTTTAATCCACAATAACCCCCGAGTACAGAAAGAGAGTATAAAAAATAAAAGCATTGTGCCAGTTTAATGTTGTCCTTTATGCAAGGCCTGCAGAATAGTGTGCAGAGCTCCACGTTTTTTACTTGTACATTTTAAAAATAGACAATAGTAGCAATAAAATAAACACACTTACAAATTGTGAAGTTTGTTCCTCCAGGGCTTTAGACTGTTCTGAAGTTCTGTATTTCCTCATTTTAGGTGTATTTACCTTTTCGCACGTGAGCTGCTCACAGAGGCTTCTGCTGGAACTGGGTCCTTTGCACTTTTCACAGACCTGTCTTCCACTGTACTTTTCTCTAACTCCTCTGGAAATGTCCACACAGATCCTTATTAGTTTGAGACCACTGAAAGTTCATGACTGACATTCTGAGATCTCCGTCTTTGTTGAAGTTCTCAAAGGTGTGATGTAGGACCTCAAATAATGTTTGAACCCCATGTTAGGTTCACAAGCAATGAGTTGCTTAATATGTGGCTGTTTTAATCTCTCTGCCACTGCTCAAGTGAAACTCCGCTCAGGGGCAGGGAATAAACACAAACCTAAGTGTTTCTAATAGCAAGTTCATAACACTGTCAGACGTAATGGAAAAGTAATCTCCATACAAATTTGGAGAACTGGTCTGCATGTATACCATGTAAGTCTGCTACAATTCAAGCTCTGAAAGTAGTTGTAATGATTTTCTTCAAGCTGATATTCAAATAAGAGAGCATGAAAAATCTTGCTTGTGTCTTCACAAGCTAAGGATTTCCAAATATACTGTAGTTTCCCGTCTTGGCAAGTCAAAAGTTAAATAGTCATTTAGTATACTTGGTTTGAATTTTTATGTCATGTGGTTCTTTTAAAATGAGGAAGCTGGTAAAACTGAAAATAAGGTATAACAGTTTACTGTACCTTTTCTAGTTCGCTTCCTTTCTTTTCGTTCTTTGGATGCCGAAGATCCAGGAGCAAGAGCATTTTCCTGAAATAAATGAATATATATATATATCTGATACATTTCTTTGTATTCTAGAAAAAAGGACCAACCATTAATGATGCATTATTCTAAAAAATGATGCTGCATTAGTAGTAATGGCAAAAATGTAATTATTATCATATGTTTTCTTACCGTTGACAATGTCTCTGTAGGAAGAGGTCTCCCATTGTGAAAGTTGGAAAGAATCAGTGCAATGGTGGTAAGTGTTTTACCCTGTATTGGAAACAAAATATTGGAAGCAAACCTTACTGCATTTAGAGAAAATAAACATATCACACTTGAAAAAGATTAAGGAAATTGAAGACATCTTTAAGGCTAGTAACATTTTTTGAAAATGTACAGATTTACGGAAAGGTAAAACGTACTGTTTTGACCAAGTATTTTTTACAAGTGTACAAATGTAGTCTATTGTTTTCAGAAATATGAAAAAATAGTATATTCCTTTGGTTAATTAACCATTTCAACAAAGTTATTGTTCTTACAGTCATTTTCCATTTTCTTACCAGCCCCATATCGTCAGCCAAGATCCCCCCATGAACCTTCTCTGGTTTTTCTTTAACAGCAAAGTTAGTGAGGACATTAAAATACAGATTATTCTTCTGCTCCCAAAAAGGTGGTAAATCATTGTTATTTTCTCTCAGTACCATCCAAGCCAGTGCCTGCTTCTGATGTGGCAGAAGGGGTGTGCCAACAGCCTGAAATATATAAAATAGCTTGATTTTTCAGTCAATTGTTAAAAAAAAGGTCAGAATTGTAGTAGAACAACAGCTGCAGCTAGCCCCATCAATACAATAACAGTTACTAGCCTGGGCTAGAAACTTGACCTAGTACCTCCCAAAGAGCCCAGATAAGTATATATGGGATTTTATCAACTGATACCTACTGTACAGTTAGCCCACTACCCAGGACAACCTACAATTCACATTCTGTGTGGCTAATGATCCAAGACTGTTGATCTCATCCCCACTCTGCTTTGCACATAGCAAAGACTAGAACATATTAACCAAATATTACAAAAGATATGTAAAACTGCACAATGCTCCAAATAAAACACTTTACTCAAGGAGCAGTGGCATTCCTGAACAGAACTTATGGAAGCCAAATCCAGTTGTTGGGCACCCAAAACGTTCCTTTGGAGGCCAAGGACAACTACTTGCTTTTCTCGGTCCCGTTCAAGCTAACGAAACCATAACAAGCGATGGACGAGAGATGTCTAGATGGACAGACGCATAGACACAGAAAGACAGTCTAGATAAACAAAGATCTACTTTAAGATAAAAACTTCGTCATATCGCTTGTTCACAGCCTGAATGCCAGTTTCAGAACACAAAGTTGAGTTATACATAACCCTCAATAAGAAATAATAACAAGAAGAAAGACAGCAAAACGATGACAGGTACATTTAACGAGCAAGAAACACTAAGAAAGAATCATTACTTCAGCTGGTTCCATCTCCTGAATTTTCTCTTCCATCAGGTTATCAAACAATTTGTCAAACACGTTCTGAAGCTGTAAAGGAGAAAAAACAGAGGTGATTATTACATCACTGAAAAAGCTTTTGAAAAGCTACAGGTTTTTTAAAGATAATATTATCCATTCTGAAAATAAAATACAACAGAAAAGAGAAATAGTAATTTAACATACATTTTTGTTTAAAAAAAACAGAAATATTTTAAAACCAAGTAAAATGTTCTTCATGATCTTAAGATGATCTGGGATGTTTACTTTTCCAGTAGGATAAAAAAACTCAGTACATGTACATTCGTCACTTGAAAGCCATAAGCTTCCACACTTTAAAAAGGCATTTGTCTGAAATGTGGAGCTGTGATTTGTCATACTTCTGTGGTTTTAAGAAAACACCCCAAGGCTCTGAGGAGTCTCCAGGAAAAATGTATTTTAAACTAAAAAAAAAGAACAACATGGGGAAATGAACAGATTTGGTTGAAATACAAAAAGAATGATGCTCACTACACTACCAATAATTTAATGGAACTTTTACAAGACAGCAGCAGTTAGATCCCATGCCACATCAGAAAGTGCTTTGAAGTGTGTTCCTAACATCACTGATGCTACCAACATGAAAAGCACCTCCAAGCCCATTTTTGCTGCTTTAAGGCCGAAGATACAGACCTGTTCCCGTGTCAGTGGAATGGCAGCTGGGCTTCCACGTAGTGGTGGAAAGAACTTATCAATCGTTGGCCCAGAAGCCTTTGCACTTTTTCCTCCAAATCCTAAAAATCACAACATTCATTAAAATAGATTAATTGCAAATACATTGTCTTTTTTATTTATGTGCTCTAGATTTGAGAATTAAAACAAGAATCTTAATTACCTTAACTGTTTTACACTACTATATAGTTATAGAACTACACACATTTCTTGGCCTTCCATGACTTGTAATGTGATGCTACATTTCAATTCTAGTCACTACCGTTTAATTTGAACAAATTTAACAGTTTAATAAGAAACAAATCCATATCGCCTATAAACTAAAACCAGTCAATAACGTCTGTCCTTTCTTAATATTTCATGCTTTTCTTTGAAACTCTGAACAACCATTTCCTATATTTTCATCAAGAAGTGGAAAGTATGGGATGCAATGACTGTTAGCCCTTAAACGCACACCTTTTCCTGATCTGTGATGCATGCAGAATATGCTTAAACATGTATTTTTATCTTATGTTGGGTAACTAATGCAAACGTTTGTCATGCTGGGGAACAACGGCTGTACCTTCTGAAGTGGGGCCAAGTCGAAACCCATGCTGTCCAAGCTTATTCATTACTGCGGCCTTATTTTCCTTCTGGCCCCAGAAAAAGAGCTGTACTGGCATGGCAAACGTATTCGTGGCACCAAACGGTACAATCCTGAATCAAAATTAAAAAAAAAACATGTAATGCAGCATGACATTTCATCGGAGTCCAGCAGACCTAAGACCAATCACACAAACATCACTTTTCTCATTGACTGGAGTAAAATTCAATGTATTAATCCATATTCCATTACACAATATGGATTACCGTTTTTTCAGCTCCAGTACACGGGTTAAAGTTCCAAACACACAGCTGGGACACATGAACCCGTTACGTCATGTGGCTGTGCATGTGGGACAGTATGAGCCCCACAGCTCCTTACTGGAGTCAGCACTGAGTGCAAGAGCTGACAGGTCCTTTACTGACGTCTCTAGGATCACAATGGCTCCTGGCAAGTCCCAGGAGTCAATACTACTACAGTAATGATAATAATAACAATAATAATAATAATAATAATAATACCTTACACTTATATAGTACTTTTTCAAAGCACTTCACAGGTAATGGGGACTCACCTCCACCACAACCAGTGTGCAGCCACCACCAGGATGAAGTAGGGTGGTGAAGCCAATTCATAGATGGGGATTAGGAGGCCATGATTGGTGAAGGCCAGGGTAAGACCCTCTACACTTTTCGAGAAATGCCAGGGGATTTTTAATGATCGCAGTATATGGTCCTTGTCACTATATTGGGGCATCAGGACCCACACAGACCACAGGGTGAGCTCCCTCTACTGGCCCCACTAACACCACTTCCAGCAGCAACCTCAGCTTTCTCAGGAGGTCTCCCACCCAGGTACTGACCAGGCTCACGCCTGCTGAGCTTCGGTAGGTTGTCAGCTGTGAGTTATAGGGTGATATGGCTGCTGGCAAATCAACTACAAGGCAGATCCAGGATCTACAATTCCAGCTAACTGACCTCAGGCTGTGATGGTCCCTGGGGAAATACTGGCCATAGCCAGCTAATAAACCTGCAACACCTGAGCTACAGGGCCCAGTCTGGGACCTTCACTGGCAGCACTATTCAGGAGCTCCAGAGAACCTTTTAATGGCAACTGCAGAGCTTCAGTACATGGATTACTCAGACATTTCCTGTTCTGGCTGCAGCCTGATTTGAGGTGTATTTACCTTTTCGCACTTAGGTGCGAACACGTTTTCAAAACAAACACCAGTCTTCTGTTGCACAGACGTTTTCGTGGTCCACTGCTGCATTCCACCACATGTGAAACGGAATACAAATAAGCGTCCAAGATTGCATTTAAGAAACTCACCCTTCCACCTTTGCCAGCTTGTTGTCCATGATGTAGGCCATCGGCGCTGCCAGCTCTCGCTTGATGTGCCCTACCTGGTGGCCGTACACGTTGGCCACCTGAACCGCATTTTTGTCATAAGGATTTTGAGGTTCCCGCACCAGGGAGACCATTTCTCGCTTGTTGACCTGAAAATGATATTCGTTACATTGCGTCATTCTACCTGCAGGTCTCTCTTGCTACAGTAGGTTTAGTGTTTTAAAAAACCTATGAAGAAAAACACATACTGTACAGTATACTGTATGTATTTAAAGCTTCACTATACAAGACATCCTATACACCTCCACCCATACTGTACATACCTATACTGCATTAAAAAAGGTAATAGAAACACCCATATATTTACACAATATCACGCTTACCACTCCAGTATAGTAACGGAGCCCTACAACATTCCCTCGCAGGCTTCCAAACAGCACCAGTGCCTCTTGATCATCCTCGCCAGGTACAGTGGAAGATTCTGCATATGTGCGGCTTATTGCCTGGGACAGCGTCTCTGATCTGTCCGCACCAGTAAAGAAATCAATGGAAAACAGGGAAGATCTTGCAAATCGCCTGTGCTGTGAAAACTGCATGGTCTTGTACCTGCAGTTAGAGAGCAACAGAATGGAATTCAGAAAAAAATGTTTTTCACAAATTGCACTATTGCAACCTCAGCACAAATGCAAGATTTCCTTACGCCTGGCTGACATAAGAACTATGAGTCCAGCAAACAACAGGCAAATGAGAAACTTCAACTTCTGTTTATCTGAGAGTCATAACGTTTCAAAATAAAAGCTCATTTTCATTTTAACCTCGTCAACACTGGGCTTGAAATCTTTCAAATACCAAACACAGCTGCAAGTATATTTGGTAACAAATACAAATGAGAGAATATTTCTTATTGCAACATTTCAAATAGTTTGCACGAGTCCTATCGCACTAGAAAGACTTTAAACCTTTTACTATTTGATATTGTCAATAACCTCAAACCTAGTTCTTGGCCATCTGAAAAAATTATTAATATTTGCTCAGCAAAGGTAATTGTGGCACAAATAAAACTGACCTGAAAACTAAAATAATACCTATTCTCAAAACATTATATTCACAAAACCAAATACAGTTATTTATATTTATTTTGGTAATTTAATGCTTGATTCATCATTAATACTCCAACACTAATTTCCTTTTGACTACTGTCTATTGTATACAGGAGTTATATAGTCTTGATTTAAAAAAACGCCACATAGACACGTTCTATGAATAGAACGTGGTCTGTGACATCACACATATTTGTCCTATAAATGTTTCTAGAACAGAATAAAAGTGCCTAAAAGTGCCACTTCCTGTGATCCCAAGTGGCACAACCAGTGAAGGTGTGTGCACTGAGTGCACGTTCCCTGTGATCCAGCTGTCCCAGGTTGAAGCCTGGGTTATGCCACTACTCACTGGTGACTGGCCTTTCTAAGGCAGCAGAATGCTTTCAGGGGTGGCCTGGGAATGGTCAGTCAATCCAACTTCCAGCAAAACAGTGACCCGTACGACGTCCTGGATGTGGACGTCTGCAGTGATGTCATTGAGTGAATTGCCTCTCCTTCTTCTTGTCACACACCTACAGGGTACTTGACATCATGCTCAAGGATCTGTAAGAGTTCCATTATGTTGACACATTTTAACAAGTAGCATGGTGGCACAGTGATCAGTGTTGCTGCCTTGCAGTGCTGGGATCCTAGGTTTAATTCCTAGCCTAGTGTGCTATATGTGAGGAGTTTGTGTAGGTTTCCTCCCAAGGTACAAATACATACTGGTAGGTTAATTAGTGTCTGGGAAAACTTGCCCTGCTGTGAGTGTGTATCTGTGTGAGCCCTGTGATGGACTGGTGTCTAATCCTGGGTGCACCCTGCCTCACACCCTTTCCTTGCCAGGATAGGCTCCAATCCCCCTCTGACCCTCAAATGAAAGAAGCAGACAAAAAATGTATGGATACTTAGTTTCATATTGGCCTTGCCAATAACAGTACTGTACATGTGAAGATTTCCAATTCACTGGAAGAGACACTATTTGAAAGCTCCACCAATTTGTAACTTTTTGGAAACTTGTGGAAAACCTCTCTGTCTTCACAGATACTGTAGATAGATAAGACTTTATTGATCCCAAAAGGAAACTGAGGTGTTACAGCAGCCCAGCCCAAGACAAGCGAAAACAGACATCAGAATAGACGTAAAATTAAAATACGTACAGTAATAAAAAATAAATACATAGTTAGATGTGTGCAAAATATGCTCATAGTCACTGTAAAACAATAACATTTGTGCAAAACGTGCATAGGTATATACAGATTGAGTGCCCAAAAAGTACAATAGTGCAACATGCTGTCCATAGACGAGCAGATGAAGGGCTAACAGTCCTAGCCTAGGGCAGCGTTATACACCCTGACAGCCGCCAGGAGGAAAGACCTGCGGAAACGTTCCCTTGAGCACCGTAGCTGGAGCAGTCTGTTGCTAAAAGTGCTCAGCTGCCCAGTTACAGTCCCATGAAGTGGATGAGAGGTGTTGTTCATGATGGTTGTAAGCTTGGTCAGCATTCTCCTTTCAGCCACCACCTCCAGGGGGTCAAGGCTCAGCCCCAACACAGATCCACTTGATGAGTTTGTTGAGCCTATTTACATCTCTTGTCGTGATGCTGCTGCCCCAGCACACAACATCGTAGAAGATGGCCGCTGCCACCACTGATTCAAATAAAATGCGTAACAGTGTTCCACATACACCAAAGGACCTGAGCCTCCTAAGAAAATAGTTGGCTCTGACCTTTCTTGGACAGGGTGTCAGTGTTAACAGACCACTCCAGCTTATTGCTTGTAGGACTGCACCACCTCTATGTCCTCGCCCTGGATGGAAAAAGGGTTCAGCAGAGACTTATTCCTTCGAAAGTCCATGACCATTTCTTTAGTCTTGCTGGTGTTTAGCTGGAGATGGTTAAGATGACACCACTCCACAAAGTTGGTAACCAAGCTCATATATTCCTCCTCCCTCCCCTAATACACCCCACAATTGCAGAGTCATCCAAAAACGTCTGCAGATGACACGCCTCAGAGTTGTACCTGAAGTCAGAGGTGTAAAAGGTAAACAGGAATGGAGCAAGGACAGTCCCCTGTGGAGCCCCAGTACTGTTAACAATCTGTTCGGACACACAGCTCTGCAGCCGTACATACTGTGGCCTGCAGGTCAGATAGTCTATAATCCAGGACACCAGGGGAGTGTCCACCTGCGCATCTCTTAGCTTCTCTCTCAGTAATGGGGGATGGATGGTGTTAAAGGCACTGGAGAAATAAAAGAACATAACTCTCACAATGCTCCCCGTCTTCTCCAGGTGAGAGTTAGCTCTGTGTAGCAGAAAGATGACTGCATCCTCCACTCCCATGTGTGACCGGTAGGCGAACTGCAGGGGGTCCAGTGCTGTACTCACCAGGGTTCTGAGTTGGTCTAGTACAAGCCTTTCCAGAGTTTTCATCAGGTGTGATGTCAGTGCCACTGGTCTGTAGTCATTTAAGACTTTAGGGTGCCCCTTTTGGGGTACTGGCACCAGGCAAGGTGTCTTCCAGAGCCCTGGAACCCTTTCTAGTCTCAGGCTCAGGTTGAAGATGTACTGCAGCACTTCAACCATTCAATACCTACTTTTTAACCACTGGATCACAAGAGTGCAGGGGATCATTAAAGCAGATCTGTGAGATACCATCCACAGATACCATAACAGAGTACGATATGTTTCAATGATGTTGTATGACGATGAGAAATAAGGCTTTACAAATTAATTTCTAAATAACTTCACAGGAACATAAAAGAGCAGTAACGCTGTCAAATGTTCATTTAAATAGTAATTAATCTATATTTGGACATAGGTGTTGTAACAATATTTCCACTCTGCTCTCCTCCCCACTGAAAGCTGATGTGTGGTGAGTATACTGGCACACTATGGCTGCCGTTGCATCATCCAGGTGGGGCTGCACATTGGTGGTGCTGGAGGGTCCCCATTGCCTGTAAAGCACTTTGAGTGGAGTGTCCAGAAGTGTAAGCAATTATTAATTATAATATTTTAAGAACACATTATCAGTATTGTGAGCTACAGCACTAAAAAATTGATAAATGCAAATAATATTACAGAAAATTACTCCATTTCCCTAATGCACAATGTTTAGTACTTGTTAAATCGCTTAGACACATTCCTTACAGAGGAGCTTGTAAAAGCTGCTCTGTGTACCCTTCAATAATCTTGTTAGCTATACACAGCTCTTAAATTCAGAAACTATTTTAATAAATTTCCCTGCTCCAAGCAGAATATGAATCTTTTTAGAAATCGTGACACTCCAGAATTACCAATTATTTTTAGAACCAACATTTTTTTTTAACACTGATCGCTATTCAAAATAACAACACACTTCAAAAACACCACGCCTTGCAGAGAATAAGCTTGCACTGCAACACTAGTCCCAGAAAGAAATGCAAAACACCAGTTCCAAAACCGATACAGGTTTCTTACTGAACAAGGAAAATATTATTCAGTTGTCCATCACCATTGCAAACATTACACGGAAATACTATTTACAATAGCTTTTCAGACATCCTAACTTTGAAAAATGTATTTCAGCGAGGGGGGTCGTCCCTCCCGCGAAAACTTTCGGACCAGAGGGGGCGGGTCCCCCTCCGAAAACAAAATCACAGCTATATAATTAAATAAATCGCTGATAGATACTATACTATGTATGCATTATTCTATAAATGCTACAGTATAACTCACCAGTCCCGTTGAATAATCTCGCTTTCTTTGCTAACTTTCGTTGTACAGAGATGCCACTGGTTTAGCAGATTTAAGCGGATTCTCAGATGACTCAGGGTCATATTATATAATTAAATAATTCGCTGACGATTTCTTTCGGACAGGGGGTGTCGCCAACAGACAAATGTGGGAGCGGGGGGCGATTTCCGGCAGATTATAGATCACTTGAGGGGAGGCATGGAGGAGACGCTGACTTCCGGGAGACTTGAGATGTCAATACCGCATAATGCGCCACACGAGTTTTACGCTCAAAACCTATACACATACCCAAAACCCGGAAACAGAAACAAGATTTAGGATAGCTCAACAAATAAGAATTTGTCTGCCTTAGCTAAGCAGCGTATGAAAAAAATGCAGATATTTACTTCCCTTCTCCAATTAAAAATCAGAAGGCGGGATCAAGCAAGTAAAAAACCTGGGCGGAGTCAATAATATATGAAACCAGGGTGAGTGGGTTTAGTTACCTGTGAAATAGGCGGTACAGGAATTGAAGTTGTACACAGCTTTATCAGCAATACTGTTTGTTCCACCTTGATTATGAACCTTTGTTTTGCAAAACTCTGCCATTAAATTCTAACAGCTGCCTACAGTAATAGCAGAACTAAAAGGGGGTTTTCATCCAAAATAATGTTATCAGAGGTACTGGATGTGGCAGTGTGGGTTTTTCGTAATGTAGTTGCTGTAAATTGTGTGCTGGAGAAATCGCAGTTGGAAAAACGTGAGGACTTTAATTCAATAAATAAAAGCTGGTTAATGATTGACGTTTTACTGGAAACATGATCTGGCCACTCACGAGTAGAGTTGATTCCGTCCCCTCTGTAATTAATTAGACTGAACAGAAATAAAGGACGCACAGCACGTGGCAGCCCTAGCTTGCTTTCCTAGTGCTGAATTAAGTGCATGTTACTGTATGTGAGAATTCAGTTACATTTTATCAAAACATTAACTAAATGAAGCTGAGCGATTGGCGTTTAACTGGGCAGGAAGTGGAATTCTGGTGTGGTAGGCGCTGTTCTCTACTTTTAAATCGCACTGTTCCGGTCCAGATCAACACAAGCGAAGTCTGACGAGCAGCAGAAAACATGCCTCCTTTCCCTCTTATTAAAATGGCGTTCCTTCTACTTTTTTCTTTGTGTTTGACATTAATTTTAGGGTTCGGGCTCCCAGAAGCATTGAATTTCATTGTTAAATGCTGTGGGTTTGCAGAAGCCAGCGTAACCCACTGCATAGTCCTTGTGTATTTCATTTTCGTATTTTTTGTGGCAATGCCTTCCATCCCCAGGGGCTCTGTGAAAGTAAGTAATACTGAAGTTTTATTGTTTCGTGTGGCGTCAACGCCACAGCACTGTATTGTACATCGAAGAGTGAATTTGGCACCAGTCATGTATACATTAGTATGTAGTAGTATATACTGGGTTGTTGACGGTGTCTATTTTTATAAATAATGTTAATGCAACTTGAC